ATGAGAAAAGGAGGTTCCTAACAGTGTCAGATGAGCAACATAATCTGTTAAGGGAAAATAAATAGCCATGGAACTTGTCCTTTCACATACCTGGACCACAAACACCAACCACAACCACAGCAGGGACAGATCAGGAAGCAGAGAGAGAGCAAGGGAACACAGGTATCTTATATAGCCTAAGCCTATAAGGAGGTTGGCCAGTGGAGGCGTTAAATCAAGGCTGCATTCAACAGCACCACACCTTAACCTGTACTTGGGGAATCTTTCCCCACCACAATCGCATTTTCTGTCAACAATCTTCTTAACAACTCCAGTTTTGTTGGAGGCAGAACTACTCTGGTAGTTTGTCCCTCAGTCTGGCCCTCAGTCTCAAAGTGTGAACTTTTAGTGCTGCAATTTCTTTCATTGGTTTGTTCTCATTCCAGGCAGCCTAAGCCCTGAAAGACATCATTGTATTCTGAATCATGTGTTGTTATCTTTCTTGACTGCAAGATATCCATTTATTTTATTGACTCACTTCAACATAAGCTTCCAGGGCTAATATGGGCTTTACCTTTTCTTCACCACCACTTATAGTTGCCATTTAAGTCTAAGCTAACCAAAATAGATTGAAAGTCTCACTTTTTGTGAGTAATAATAATAATAATTTGTCTGTAATTCTCTCAAATATTCAGCAGGCTAAAAAAACCCATGAAATTTTAGGTTTAATTTTAGTTTTTTCATTTCTTTAGGCCATGCCAGCAGAATGACATCAGCATCATTGTCATGAGCTTGTTAGCATGAAGTTAGCGTTTAGCTCAAAGCATTGCTGCCTCACAGAGCCCCTATCATGGCTTTAGACTCTAAGGGCTGGGATACACTAGAAAAGAAGTGGCTTCTAAAGTTTCTCCTGGAAGGCATTCATGATGTTGCGCTCACATGAAAACTGACAGAAATAGCTGTGGCAAGAATGAAAAAAGAGAGCTAGAGAGAGAAGTTCAATCCCCGGCTCCTATCTCACCTCTGAACAGCTGGAAAATCACAGCGTGGAGTGTGAATGTCGGATCAAGGGTTTTGTAAAGTTACAGAAATGGCACCTGACGTTGAAAAGGTCTGACGTTGGAAAGGTGTGAGGAGAAGCTATTCAACCATCTGATAAGCACTCCTGACGGGGTGGTGGTCTCGATGCTTGACAACTTCTCTTAGGAATGTCCCATTCATTAAATAAGAAACTATCCCACTCACTATTCTGTCACTATTCCTCTGTGGTCAACAGAGTAGCCTACATCCAATGTAGGCTACACAACCGTACCTCTTTTATGAGCACATAGGTCTATACTTCTTGACATGTAAACATCCAGGGGCAGATTTGCTTTTGGGAATTTTGGGAACAATCCTGAATGGACGGTCCATTTCAGGTATTTTCAGTTTCTTATATTCAACTTTAAATGATCTGCGACCCCACCAGCCAGTCAGCTGCAGCGAACGCTGTCTGTGTGTATCAGACTGGGCCAAATGAATACTTTCAATATTAAGTTTTTGCTAAAATCTAATTGGCTTAACTGCGCTGATCACATGGAGTTTACTTTCCAGCTGGGAGTTCGGTCTCAATACGTTTTGTCGGCCCAGGGTTGTGTGACAAGTGCAACAGAGCAGGTAAATATGTTGAAAAGAAAGAAAGAGTGGTTGTGGTGCCAAAAAACGCTGGCACATGAGGCAGCTAAATGCTCCAAATTAACCAACCACTGCCTTGGTGGAAAGGTTCTGTGGCAGACCCAGCACGGGCACTGATAAGTAATGCATTTATTATAACCTGAGATTATTTATATATGCATTTATGTATAGGTAAATGGTGAATATTACATATTTATATATTATAAACAACAGTTGAAGGAAGAGGAGGAGGAACAGGAGGAGCTGTAGGAGAAGGAGAGGAAGAGAAGCAGCAGGAGAAGGACAATGGAACCAGAAACGGTGCAGCCTGTTCTCATGCTCAGGCGTCATATATACAGGCTTTGAGAAAACCATGGCTATTTTACGCAAAACATAAATTCTTCATGTATAGGAAACGCCCCCAGGTGCGTGTGTATGAGACACACAGTGTGTGTATATGACGCCCTGGGGTGACGCTAGTAGTGCTTCCGGCCGCTAACTAGCCAGCTTGCTAGCAAAGTTTGTGTTTAAGCACATACATACACACACTGTTCAATTCAATTCAATTCAATTTTATTTATTTAGCGCCAAATCACAACAACAGTTATCTCACAGCGCTTTTCATAAAAGAGCAGGTCTAGACCGTACCCTATGATGCTATTTGTACACTGCTCTATTTAATGAGACTGCATTGTAGTTTTTGATTATATTGAACTATTTTAGCACTCTGACAGACTCAGGCTTGTGTGACCTGGTCTTGTTCAGTGCAGCGGTGCCGTGCTTATATAAACTTAAGAGGCAGGTGTCATAAAAAGTTTCTTGAAGGTCTTCATCATAATGAAATTGACTATATACAAGTACAACAGTATATATTAAATAACTGTAAAAAAAATCCTTCTCTGCACCCCCACACGGCGCTCGCATAGAAGGCCTCTCTCCGTTTCAAAGTCCCAGTCCCAATAATGTATTTTTCATTGTAATTAGTACCACTATTTACATCCAACAATGTGTGCCTACAGTGTGTAAAATAGTAACACCTTAATATGATACCATAAAGGGACCCCCCTCCGCTCTAACGTCAGTTAGAAACCCCCACGAAGCTCAGATTATAACTCGAACCCTGGTAAAGACCTATCTTGGACTGCAGTACTTTTCAATGTTCTCTATATAAGTGCAGCCATGTTGTGCATTTACCAACAAGACTGTATTTTCTGTGTAGTCTGTGGCTCCCAGGTACTCCTGAAATGCTGCCCATCTTCAGTTCTAGTCCAGAGGACAGATGCAAGCTTTACTGCAAACTCCTCCCTTCTGATTTCCGTCCAGTTTCAAATAAGCAAAGATGAAAGAGATGTGAAAGTACATTAGCCAACTTTTAACTCTGTTCATTTCACTGTCAACCAACTACAGTTGGCAGCTTATTTGGCATTATTTAAATTTTTAGATAAATTGCTAAACTTAACCCTTGATACTCACTCAAGTGCAAGGAGTGAGGAGAGAGGAACAACATCTAAACCCCATTTTCAGGTCGGTGGTTCTAAAAAAAAAGCATAGCAGAACAAACATAAAACACACACGGACATAAGAAAACCATTAATAGTACTTCCATGTACCGCAGAGCAGTGCATGTGAAAGATAATGGCTATTGATTCATCACCCATGTTCTGTTCTTCAGGAACTGCCGAAGTCTACTTCCTCAGCAAGAGCTCTGTCAAATTGTCATCTCGAGCTAAAAGGAAAACTTTAACAACAAATGGCTGTCTGTGAAAATAATGCACGTTTATGTGAGTGTATCTATGTGTCAGTGATGACAGTCTGTCAATACTTCTGTGAATGAGTGGGAGTGAATCAATGTGTTGTGCAAATGCATGTGAAAAGCCAGTGTATTACTGCTTACATCTAGTGGCAGAGGGACAAACTGCAGTCTGGTCATCATAACATTATATTGACTGGGTGCTTCAGACTAGTAAACTTGGGTGTAAGTTTGTCTATAAGGCCCATTAACATGACCACCATACCATATGTATCTCCATTCTTCATCCATTCAGCAGTTTAGTTTTCTGTGGTTTAATGAGCATTACAGCCTCAATCCTACTTCAGTGTTGTTTAGATGTCACATGTTTCAATAACTTTTCTCAATAGACTTTGACAGAAAGTAGTAATAAAATGAAATTTTTTGGAGCACTGGTACTGTCAATTGTTCAATTTAATTTATTTTATCCACCTGGCAATATAAAGTTGTTCTAGTTGTGTAGTTAGGCTAACCAGCATTGCACTAGGGTTAGCATATAGAACATTTGAAGCTAAGCATGCTAACCTACTAACATTTCTGGTCATTTCAGTATGCATACTATCATAATTCACATTGTTAATTAAATAACTACACAATACATACATTTGTAATATGCATATTCATTCATTCAATCCAAATTCATTCATTGGCTATATTCAATTTCAATCAAAAAGTGTTTGTTTCCATGAGCTCATGGGTCCAAACTGCCAAACAGGAAGTGTCTTCTTTGTTGTCTTTTAGAAGCAGTTTGGATCCAAAATGAATTATAGATTCTAGTTTGTTGGTTGGAGTCGGGGTTGGGATGGGGCTGTGGGTCATTTTTTCAGTTAATGTTTGAAGTACACATAAAAACATACTATTGTTAATATTTCTATGTTGACACTAATATTGGTTAGACATTGTCTTTATTGTTCTTACAGAGAAATGTTATTTTTATGTCTTTATTGACTGTGAACTTATTTTGTGTGGTAGGCGGGGCTTCCTGTCTAAAATGCAGGGATAGAAACTCCACAAACTGAAACTGAAATTCAGTTCATCTATCCAAAAGCCATGGACGTAGCTCTGGTTTTCTACTGATTGACTGAACAGGCTCCTCATGTTCATTTCATTTTTCTCCTAGTTTTTTTTTTTCACAACCTCACCAAACCCAGCCCGCAATGCTTCGTTTGTCTGCTGTAAACTAAACAGACAACATACATCAGTTGAAGATCACGCCTGCTTTTGTATGTTCTCCCTCCACCACACGACCAATCAGTGGTTCTCATACTTTTTCAAGGATCCCTAAACTGACACAAATTTGACCACGGACAAATTTTACTGAAAATAAAATGATTCCCCTTTTTGCTGGGGACCCACTGGAGCCCCCTCAAGGACCCCTGACCCCACTTTAAAAAACACTGCATTACGTTTACCAATCTCTGTAGCCCACTCCTCATTATGATCCTTTAAACTGTCCATCATCAGTCTGACAATGTTATAAGAGAGAAAAGCTTAATCAGTGGAGTACTATTTTAAGAGAAGAAAATATTTCACCGGAATATTAGGCTTTTTTTTCTCTTGATCCTTCATCTCTCAACAAATGACATTTGTAGCCATTGTACTGTGGTTACGCCCCCTGTGGGAGTGCATTGGTAATAACTTTATTGCAAAAATACAGGTTCCCTCTTTCCCCGAGCAACACCACCCCAGAACTGAAACACAGTCCACACACACCCACAAACAATAAACCATCTGCAGTGGTTGACTCTTCACCCTCTCTGTTTCTGACCATGACATCATTCACAAACACACACTTTCATCCTTTATTTTACATTCATTCGTTCTCTTTCTCCCTCTTTGCTCTCTCCCTCCTTGTTGCTCCCCTTTTTTTGCATTCCATTGGTTAAAACATAGTAGTAGATGCAGAACAACAAAGTTCACCAGCAGCATTAGACATGAGATCTCCTCCTCCTCTCCGTGTCTCTGCCAGAGTCCATGAGAGCGCTGTTGGTGGGTGTGTCTGCCTCCTGACTGTCTCTGATACAGGATCGTGAGGGAAGGTTGATTTGCATAGCGGACTCATGCGCTACAATTGGCTACATTCTCCCACATCCAGAACCCCAAACAAACAAACAAACAAACAAACAAAAACAACAACAACAAACTAAATAAAAATAAAACAGCAATGTTAAATACGCTCTCTGAGTTAAGTGCCAACCTTTGGTTTAGTTACAACGATCGATCAACATCAATAAATCCTTGAAGTACTTTACATTGGCCAGTTGTTTTATAAGGACTTTGTTATTTCATATATTATTTAATAGAATAAAGCATATAATAAATATACTCTAAACATGTCAGAATGCTCCTCAGTAAAGGGGGGAGTGAGTGTTATAACTGTTCATACAACTGAGGAATGGTGACATCTCTGAAGAAGATAGCTCACTGGCTGAAAATATACCTCTCATACATATATATCATATAAAGCATTATTCATATTAGACATGTGACTGTCTCAGGCTGAGGATGATTTTCTATTCACATCTGAGGCCTTAAACACATTTTCAGTGGGAGGGAGAAATAATACAAGTGTGAATTCATAAGTGCCACTTAAGTTCACCTGAGGCCTTTAAGCAAAACAAACACCATCATGTTATCTCCAGCCACTTCTCAGTCAAATAGCCTACGGAAAGTGCACTTCTGCCGAGTAACCTTGCAAAACGCAGAGTCATCTCTATTTTCATTGATAAAGCCTCAGAGAAGGGTTTCCTAACCTACATTCTCGCATTCCTTCTTCAACTTTCCTCCCCTGTTGGCCTATTTGTGGTGCTACTGTTTCCTGTTTGGAAGAAAGAAAGCAAGCGCGAATAAAAAAAAGCAAGAGAGAAGGCAAGAAAGAAAGGAACTAGGAAAGAAGCAGAGAAAAAGGAAGCGCTTTTCTTGTTTAATCTCCCGGTAGAAACGGGAGAGCTGTCATTAGGTCGGCTAGCGGTTTGGGGGGCGGAAACTCCAGCTAGACACTTGTGAAGTGCACTCCACTCCTATTTGAAATGCAGACATGAGGAAGTATCACTTGAAGTTTATCAATATTCGTTAATTATCATTATCAACATTCCATAAGGTCTTAATTAATTAACATACAGGTTTTCATACATGAGTTTTTCTGTACATGACTTTTAGTTATTAGAGAGTTCGGTCTCGGGCGGGTTTACTGTGTGTGCACACAGGAAGAAAAAAAACAAACAAAATGAGAGAAAATATGGCTGTCCATCTGATACAGACCCAGTTCGGCTACGTGTGCATCCAACAGGAAATGCCCGTGAAGAAAGAGGAAGAGGCGTGGCTACTTGGTAAGAGCCTCCCCCTGAGCTGAGAGCCCTGTGGGGTGGAGGACACTGCCGAGAGCTCAGGTCCCAGTCACACCCGGCAAGTGAGCTACCAACCTGACACACCACTGAAAGAGGCATGCTCGCCAGGCTGACTGCACAGGAAAACCATCTGAAAACCCAGGGGGAGACTAGAAACAACAGTCCCGGAAATAGGGGGGAAGGTTGAGGTTGTAGTTGGGGGTCAGAGTGACTGCATAGACAGAATAGTAGGTCAAGGAGGGGGAGGGAGGGAGGAAGGCCAGGAAGGGCTAAGCAGGGTGCTGCAGGCGCTGAGGGAGGCTCTAAGTCAGTGCAGATGTGCATGTGTGCGTGCATGTGTTTGCATGTGCATGTTGTTTGAGGGAGAAGGAGAAGGTACAGGATAGGAGTTGAGTTTGATCCTCCTGAGCCAATTCCAGGTCCGTCAAGGTGAGGCCGTCAAGGACCCCGGCGCTGCTGCGCCCAGTGTGGAGGTGGGCGCGGTGAGACATTAGTGAAGCAGAGAAGGACTCTGGTCAGAAGGCAGCTTGACCCCCGTCAGACACAGCCAGAAACTCCCAGCACCGCCCGACAGCTCCTAGACAAGAAGAGAAGAGAGAATGAACCGGTCATATTAGCATGAAGGTGCACCTCAAATTTGTGGAAACAAACTTGTTTGACCAGGCCTTTCTCATGGGGCAGAATGTCAAAACATGAACACGGTGATGCTCTAAATAACATGTTAAGTACTATTTGGTGGACGCTTTTTAACTACTTGAATTCTGGCAATCCCCATGTTTCGCTTAACTATTTCCAAACTGGAACCCATTTTCCAATGTTTCTGCGTCTATGTGACAAACGGGGACAACATTTTTTGAAATTGATCCAATATTGAGCCACCGCGGTGCAGTTTGCAGTGAAACAGGGCTGCAATGTAATCCTTGCTTGCATTTGTGCCCCATCAAAGTACGTCCACTACATTGCTTGCCACAGACAGGCTCAGATTGTTGTTAGAAGTGTCTGACATCATTATGGAAGAGATGATTTATTATTCATTATGGAATCCCCACAGATAAAGGCCTTTTTTGTAAGATCCTTTTTGTGTGCCCAGAACAGTTCACTCTTTTCAAAGGCACCAGTCTCCCTTGATAAAAATAGTAATTTTACTTCGCAGAACATGGGAGTTGCTGGTGTACCACTGCCTCAGTCAGTTAGTGTGTTTGTGTAATTGTGTGACTTTGGTGTTTTTGTTTGTTTGTGTTATTGTGTGACTTGGTGTTTTAAAAGGTTAAAAACAGCAAAGTCACACAATAACACAAACTAACCAATCAAGGCAACTGCCAGAGAGGTAAAATTACTTTTTTTTGACTTTCAATGAAGTCTGGTGGCTCTGAACAGAGTGATGTAGGGATCTTACTCTTTAAAAAAGATCTACCTCTGTAGAGATCTGTTTCCGTTTGATATATCATATATTACATATCTATTCTGAAAAAAAGGTTTATGTTGTCAGTGTATCCTCTAAAATGTATTCAGTGATATTCAAGTGATTTCTTCAAACCAGCACTTACTTCATTAGGGATAGAGCCAGTTGTCCTAAGCTGGCAAAATAATGGAATTATTACTTAGAATAAATATTCAACCATTTCTCTGCTAGAGAGAATATTTAGATATAACAACATCCTGTAAAAAAATATTTCAGACCGATGTGCATTAGCCCCTGCTCCCGCAGTGAAGTGAAATTTTTGCACTCTGAAACTGAAGTGTTAAAAGAAACTATAAAAAAAATTCTACATTTGGGCACAGAATAAAGCTTCAAAAGTTGGAAATAACCTGCGTTTTTTTCGGATAAAAATAACTTTGTTTTTCAAAACTCATTTGTGAGCAAGCCCTGCTCTTAAAGAAGAATAATAGGTGTTTTTTCTACACTAAAGTTTCATTGCATTTGGAATATCTGGTTATCTTTTTAGGTGAGAAGCAAATATGTATTTCATAAAACGTATATGATTTCTGCTGGAAATTGTAACTTAATTTGACACATGACACATTTGCCCAGGCATGAAAATAACCTTTGGCTCACCAGTTATTACAAATCATTGCACAGGATATAGCTATGTGCAAATAGGGGCTTAGCCTACTTTTGTGCCAGATGTTTGCCAGTAAAATGTTCACCACAAACTTCATAAAATATCAAGAGATGATATTTACTTTGCTTTTCTGACCTGATTTTAAAATTGCTCTGAAACATACACATCTGGCACTCAAAGTAGCTCAACCAAAGGAAACACGTACACTCGTACCAGTCTCAAGCAGATGAGTGGTATTTTCCTTTAAAGATTACAAGTGTAACAACGTCAAATGAGCTCAGCGCAGTGTTTACCTGTAAAGCAGTGGAGGGAGGTGGTGATGAGAAGGTGTTGGTGATGAGGAGGATGGAGGAGATGATAGTGGTGGAATAGCAACAGGGACTCAGAAGAGAGGAAGTAAGCAAGGAGAGGCACTGACATCAGCCTGCTTCACCTTCGAGAGAGAAAGAGGAAAGAAAGGGAAGAAAAGCGGAGAGAGGAGCACAGATTGGAAATTGAAAAGCAGGACAAAAGGAAGAAACAAGACAAACAGCTGGGGAGAAGGGCACAGGGAAAAGCAATGTGTAAAGTGCCACAGCGGGACATCAGGCAGATGCAGTTTAAAAGCACGGCCACAGGGGGGCAGCAGAGCACAGGCAGTCACACTCACAAGGCTGCGGGTTGCAGTCAGACGGCTGCGGCGCGGGGTCACTACTGTGCCGCTCAGGCTGCGTCCAATTCGTCTCAGGTTTTCCCCATCATCAGGCTCCACCCCAAAACGCATATCCCGCAACATCATTGGCTGCAGGGGGAGAAAATGTCTGTCAGACGCTGGGAAATGGAGCCAACTGATGACCGGCAAACATGTGAGGGGATTCTGTTAGAAAGATGGCGTGGATGTTACCTTGTTGAGGTAGGTGGGGGTGCTGGTGCAGTCCGCCCCATACACACTCCTCTCCATCTCTGCGTTTGGGGTCTTAGAGCGAGCCTGTCCTCCCACCCTGGATATGAGCCTCTCTGATGGGCTGCAGCCTACACACACACACACACACACACACACACACACACACAGGGCTGGAGGTCAAAACAGGAACGTGCAGTGGTCTCTAAAACAAATATGCCATTTTAATGAAAGCTTTTTAACAACCTCTAATCTCCCTCATGTTTTTAAATTTACCTATACATAGCGTTGGTAAATCACCCACATAATTTCACAACATAATTAATCCATTCAGTATAAATTCTGTTCCAGCCCTTTGCTGGACCAATATATCACACTTGACAAACACACAAACTGTTTGTCAAGATGCCGTTTTTTATGGCTGCACCATTTCAAAAATTACAGAAAAAATTCCCCTCGTCTTGTGCATATCAATTTGTAAAACTTTTCCTTTAATTTATCTTTGTAAACTTTGGGTTTTGGATGGAATTTAATATAAAATTCTATGATTTCATAAAGCACATCAAAAGCATCTTTAAAAAATGTGTTCAACATTCTATACTTGATTCAATACATCATCCATTTCCTTTGTGCACTGCACTGTGGGAGACTAGCGCCCATCAACAACACACACAAAATAAAATAAATAAAATTGTATTCATAATGACTGTTTTAAGTATAATTTTGTCACGTTTAAAGTGTGAACATAGAGTATACGGTATACTCAAAACCTGCTTAGAATTACTATGTACATGTACAACATGGTTCAAAACATGGTTTTAAATACAATGCGTCTTACATGTGTGACTTTGTACATGTATAGCTTTATCTCTAGTAGCAACCAAGCTTAATAACATACATAACATTAATTTAAATTTCTGTTTTGGAAATTAACAGCAAACTTGACTATATGGTACACAGGACTGCAACTATTATAAATATATTTCATCATAAATTAATCTGTTTTTTATTTTACTGATTAACTCATAAATCATAAAGTCCATTAAATCTGCTACAATTGTGAGGTAAGGTAGCATCTATAAATTGCTTTTTTTATTAGATACAGCCAAAGATATTCTCTTAACAATGTTTTAAAAAATGGAAGGTAATGCTTGATAAATGACTTACACAATTCATTGATTATCAAACTATTGTTGATAAATATTCAAAAATTTGACTAAGTGATTAATTGACTCGTTGTATCGGCTCTACTATACAATCTTTTAGGGATTCGTATCTAAATTATTCACTATTGTTCATGTATGTCAACATTTCACTTGTTTGAAGTTGTATAGTTCTTGGTTGGGTGCGGCCGTGCGTGTACCTGTCTTTCCAGCCAGCAGACTGGCCTGGTAAAGGGAGTCAAGCTCAGATAGCTCAGCCTCTTCGCGGTAACAGCAGGGATCACCAAGTTGCCCTGGGGCATGCTGGGAGCTGTAGTGCCCTGGAGAGGACTGGCAACTGAAGCTATAGTGCTGACTGGACGCCTGCGGCCTGATGGGAACACAGCGGTCTGGTGGCGTGTCATATGGTGTCACCACGGCGTCGGGGCGGTCCAAACTCCAGGAGGACCAATGCCGTGTGCTGCTGTCGCCATCAGCTTCGTGCCTCGGCCAATGCTGAGCTGCACCGGTTGGGGAATGGGGCTGGGGAGGCTGCCAGAGAGGCGTGAAAGGTTTCCTTTGCCCGGAGGTTTCCAGAGGGTAAGGTGGGGGAAGAGGGGGAGGGGGAGGGTGTGTGTGTGGGGGTTCAAGGTGTGTGGAGTGTGCGGTGTGTGTGGTGTTTGTATCCCAGAGACGCAGAGGAAGCGAGGGCAGAGAGATGGCTAAGTGCTTCCCCAGAGGTCTGACACTCACCCCCCCTGCCTGCAGCAACTCACACAGCCTCACCCCAGTCCCCTCCCTCCCATCCTCACCTTCCTCCCCTCTCCTCCCCATGCATCCCCCTCCTTCCTCCTCCTCCCCTTGGCTGGAAGGGCTGCAAGGGTGAGGGATGTTAAGGGTGAGCGGGGGTCGGGGGGGGAGCGGGCTGATAGGGCAGAGGGGGCGGGTCCGGGCCCAGAGCAGCGTCCTGTTTGGGCGTTGCCTGGTCCTCTTCCTCCTCCTGATTGGGCGTCAGCAGTACTTGGACCGGGCCAGGCTGTTCACTGGAGGACACAAGAAAGGGAGGGTGTCAGTCAGCTAGCAGCACAAAAAAAAACACCCCCAAAAAAACTGCTCTGACGTCAGGTGAGTTACTGCATTGAGGGAAGGTCACAACAGCATACCAGTATAAACAAGCAGAACACAGACACACACATACACACACATACACAAGCTCAATTTCGTACAGAACAACAGCTATGAACACACAATGATGCAGCCTTGTGCAAGCATCGCTTTGTGTAAGGGATTTCACAGCCATGCTGTTTATGAGTCAGGCACAAGCTCAGCTCCACTGATGGACAAATCGCTGCAGATTCACCAAACTTAACTTTCTGATCTGAACATATCCAGCTCAAACAACCAAAGATCTGACTTTACTCTCATTATCAAAACAGCAATCTACCTTCTGCTGCACTGAGTGGGACACCGTATTACTTTATTGATTTACATACATTGATATGTGGAGGATATGATATATGTTGAACATTAGTGGATCCTCTCTTAGGAGATTAGGAGATGGTACACACTCTACTAATGTAGGAGTGTGTGTGTGTGTGTGTGTGTGTGTGTGTGTGTGTAGTAAACTAGTGTGTGTGTGTGTTGGTATGTGTGAACAGCAAGTCTGTAAATTTTGTCTATTTTTAAAGACAGGGTGCGCTAACCCTGTATGTGTCTACGTAAGTGCCTCCATCCCCCACATTAACTCTCCCGTCTCTTTTCAGCCTTGGTAATTACCCAGCAGGCTTTGCAGCAGCGAGCTATAAATCAGAGGCTTGTGTTGATCAATAGAGGAGAGGAGGAAGGTAATAAAAGAGGCTGAGCGCTGAGCTTTACCTCCTCTTTCCCCTTCTTCCTACCGCTAACAGTTTGGATTTACAACTTATTAAGTTTTAACAAATTTTGTTTCAGTTGAATGAATGAAACCGAGACTAAACCCGGCATTAACGTGACTAAATTAGCAAATCCAATCACCGCCTCTGCCTTTGTAATTACCATCAATTCAGCTGGTTCAAAGTGCTGCAGTAAGACTCCTTACAAGAGCTAATGGGAGAATGTTTTGGAGCAGACTGTAATGACCTTGACAATAACGTAATGTAATGACACCTTTAAGGCATGTATGAGATTGGCTCCTAAATATATTCCTAACTTTGTAATTCTAAATGAGCCTGAGTTTAACCTGATGAATACCAGAGGAGACTAGGCCTTTGCAATCGGGACCCCTCCACTCTGGTTATTTTAAAAAAGTCATATTTACTATTTATTCTACTAAATCTTATGTTATTTAAATTTTATACCACTCTGATCTTTGATTAATTGTTTAATCATCTGGTCTATAAAAAGTGAAAGCAAAAAGTGAAAATGCCTATCACAATTTCCACAGATTCTTTACATGTTTAAATTACTTGTTTGTGTCTGACCAGCAGTCTAAAAGCCAAAGATAATTAGTTTACATAAGTCCGATGCTTGGAACCAGTAAATGTGACTAGTTCCTTATCTCTAGATGAGCTGCCTCACTCTTTATTAAGTATGGAATTTCTTCATGCAGCAGTTCCTGTGCTAAAAACTTCACTGCAGAAGCTCACTTTCCCCCTCCTCATGCAGCAAATCTAAGACATCAGGAGGGAAACAGACTAACTTAATCTCACACACAAACACAGCAGCAAAGAGCGAAAAAAAATGATCCACAACACAGGATCTGCGACTGTGACTGCAATTGCACGGCAGTACACAAGACAGAAACACAGTGATGGACTGCAGCTTTACAGCACACAGAGGGACAGATCAGCAGCACACAAAGAGCAGAGGGAAGCCTCGGCAGCACACAGCTACAAAGAGCAGCACAACAACAATGATGGGAAGCAGTGAAGCACAGAAAAGCAGAGAGCAACTCTGTCTCTCTCTTTTTATTCTCAACACAGAGCCCAGCAAAGCAGATTTTTACTGCACTGCAACAAACACACAAAGACAAAAGGGATAAGAAGTTACTGTATATAGTCAAGTGTGTGTGTGTTAGAGAACACACGCATATTCAGACACACATACACGCATACAGCAGGATGTGAGAGTGCATTGCTAGGGATTACAGAAACAGGGTTCAGGGGGATTTTGGGGCAGCCAGAGCTGAAGACACACACATGAGGGTGTTGAGGTGTTTTTTTACACAGCCAGAACTCAGAGGACACATACAAGGAGTCCTGAGGTGGGTTTAAGGACAGCTTGAGCTGAGGACACACACAAAGTGAGAGAGGGAGGAAGGGGGTCTGGGGTGGTTTTCAGACAGGCACCGCTGCGGACACATAAGGGGGGACAGTGGTGGTACCTGCGAGGCCCCTGTGGGCGGGCGCTTCCTGTCTCCCGTTCCATTTCCTGTTCCTGCCTGCGTTTGATTGGGCCCCCAGTGCTCCTCATGCACGCAGCTACAGCCAATCCGCTATGAGCGTTAGCCTCATGCAGGGGTCTGAGCACAGCTGAGGATGTTAACAACAGAGCGGGAGATAAAAAGGAGAAAAGACAGAAAGATGTAACGACAGAGTGGCAGAGAAAGAAAGAGTGAGGGAACGGAAAAGGAGAGGAAACCACAGACAACAATACAAGAAGTAAAGTGTAAAAGACAAAACACGAGGATGACAGAACAGGTGAGACAAAAGAGACAGAGAAAATAGAAGCAGAGCAGAAGGAGTGGTTATGAGGGGGCTAGCATGCATCACGCTCCTCTACTGTAAATCAGTGTGTGTATTTTAATTGTATCGAGTTGCAAAGTGGGAGGATTTATTTTGGGCGTGGTTGGCTATGTTAGATGACTTTTAAGAACTTCTTTTAATTGGTTAAATCCTACATATTAGCAACTGGGTTAGAAAATATAAAATGTCTCTTTGTTAAAAAGAAATAAAGGTGCGCTTTGAGAAAACCTGATTAAACATTCAGTTCACCTTTAGATTTGGGGTCAATTTTAGATGAATTTAGTAACTTTTATTCCCAATTACAAGAAAAGATTCTAAATGAACTCCGCTCTGATTTGCACCTTATTCTCCATAGGTACAGCTGCTGAGGTTCATCGGTATGGTAGTATTTCGCACCATCCACCATACCAAACTGATGGAAAAATGTAAGCTGGAATAATTAAAACTGGCAATCGTCAACTTATTGTATCTTTAAAACTAGGTTACGTAACTTTTGAAAGATGAAACAGTGCCTTTTTTCTCTTACAAATGAAAAGCAATAGAATAATATTTCTGATTGGCCAGGATTACTGTGTCAGAGCATTTCATTTCTTAATTGCTGTCAGGATGTAAGTGAATTTGCACAAACAAATTAAATAAATTGCATACCACAGCATCAATACACTCAGGTGTGTTTTGACATTAAAGCCTTACTTGGTCTGGTATGACCAATAGCTTATGGCTAACTTTATATTGCTGTATAAGAGACATTACTGAGTTTGTGACTCTTGTCAACTTGTGCCACTGTATTGTTACAGTATGTTTATCATTTACCATTATCCTGTAATTTCCACTTGTTGCAACGGTGGCTGTTGTTCAGTAAGTTATATTGTCTCAGAAGAAACTCCCGTGTTCTTATGTTGACAAACATTGACAATATCAATAGAAGAAAACTTTGAAATAGGGAGACTATAGTCGATAAATACTTCCACACCCAGCATCTCTTCCTTACTTTGCAACTCTATTGTAAATGCATCAATATGTAAACTTTACTGTAGTTAGTAAGTCAAAAAGTCAAGACTAGATAAATGAGGAGCAAAGTTGAGGCTACGTTTATGAAGCCACAGACACCAGACAGGGAAAAAAGACAAAAGTTGTTGTTTTTTTCAGTCAAAGCTTTCTATGGTGCATAGCCTTGTGAACGCACCTTAAAAGGTGTTAGTTTGTTATAAAAAAGATGCAGAAGAGAACAACAAAAAAGCAGCCATCACCTATCTTGGCTTGAGTTTAAAGACGTTTGATTGATAGAGACAGAATAAAAGAAGGTTGACGGCAGCTTTGTTGTTGTTGTTGGCTGTAACGTCCTCTAAAACACTGAGGCAGATTGTTTGGAGTCTGCCTGAAACCATCAATACGGATGTGGGAAACCAAATTCTGTTACGTAATCGCACTGATAGTGATGCCATCTGTTCGTTTGCAAGTCATCCTTTTACTCCATCAAGGTTGAGTGTATTCACCGGGGTGTGTGTCTATGAGTGTGTGTGTGTCAGGTACATAAGGCTGAACACACCAAAGCACACACAGTAGGACAGACAGGACACAACATAATAATCCTTGATATGGATTTAGTTAGCGCTGAACTGGAGGGGAAAACCTGCACACCTACAGTTCATATAGGGCTCACACACACACACACACACACACATATTTATTTTCTGAAAATACTGACACACGTAAAGAAAAATATAATTTGTGGATATATGGACCAAATATGCAACACACGCAAAAACACACACATACCGTCCCAAGTCATTTAGAACATGTGGTTCAAGTCAAGTCACAAGTCTGGAAATTGCAAGTGTCTGAATGACCATTAAAATGACACAGCATGTGATCATTTTTCTTGGTGTCTAAAGTAACTTTACTCTCACAGCAATCAAGTCCAAGTCAAGTCTTGATTGTGACGATTTAGTGATTTAGTCTTCAAGCCATTCTAGCAGCTCTATCAGGCTGTACATAGTTAGAACCAGTTTGATTTAAATGCTCATGTCAGCATGCTAACATGCTCACCATGACGGTGCTAACATGCTGATGTAAATTTTGACCTAATGATGGAAAAGAAGAGGAAAAAACAGGTGATCACCAAAGTCAGTAGGTTTCATCCTCTTTAAACAATGAATGTCAGGACCACATTTCATAGAAATCCATCCAATAGTTGTTGAGATATTAATGCCTGGACCAAATTAGTGAATTGACAGAACGGCATTGCTTTCCATTTAGTCCCTAGTATGAGTCACACTCCAAAAACAGTGGATCCTACACACTTTCCATAATGTACCTCTAAACACTGTTTTTTTGGACCCTCCATTCCTGGTATATGCCTAAGTCTTTCAAAACTCCATTGCCCCAGGTTTTAACATACATGTGTAGCCCTCAAGCCCAAAATGAGTACTCAGCTGATGTAAATTGAGTAAGTATGCCAGAATCAACAATGCTCACCCAGAGCCACAGAAGACATAGTCTCAGTCTCATTCCCAGCGACTAGTACAAGTGATTTTGACATGCAGAATTGGTGGAGTGCCCCTTTAATTATAATCTGAGTCCAAGTCTCACATCTACAGCTCACAATCTCACACACACACACGAGGATATACCGAAAACACAGGTACATACATGGCTACATATATGTATGTATATATTAACATGGACATATGGAGACACACACAGACATATCTAAAAATATACTGCATACACACACACTCAGAATCTTTTTGTGGACTAAGAAACAGACACACATTGTGAACTCCCTAGAGTGTGGCCAGGACATCATAGCTCTGAACTTGGACTGGTTTGTGATTTCAAATGGGAATCACCCTGAGAGAATTTCCCCACTCAGTGCTGGTCAGTAAACGTCCCACTGGAGTTTACATGTTGGTAAAAACTGACCTGACAGGGGTTTGCTCTCTGCTCTGCTCAGCTACACTGAACTCAGCTAAACCTCATCTGCACACAGACACACTTATCGTGACATAAAACACTCATTGATGGCACATGAAAACATGGTATATACAGTATGAGATATGGTAACACACACTGAACTTACAGACAAATGAAAAATACCAACAGAGGGAGACAGATGGAGAGACAGGCGAACAGATGGGAGTGAGGACAAAGAGGAGGTCAGACAGAACCGCGGACATAAAAGTCACTGTGACTGCTAAACCAGACAACAGGTGATAATGTGACCTTAAAGCTGCACCGGGCAAAATACACTTTATCAGCCATCATGAAATGATGCTCAGCATAAAACAACATCACAGCTCTCCAATTGAAATGCCATTGTTTTTTGCTGTTGCTATTTTTTGAAAGTAAAAATTGAGATTTAAATCCTAAATTGTCTGATGAGTCAGCGATGGGTCTTTGCTATCTGGGGTTTAAAACATACAAAGTTTCCCTGCGCAGCTTTAAATGCAGTAGTCTTTCTTCTTAAAGGGTCAATTTACAAAAAAACATGTTTTCATTTCTGGTATCTAGCCATGCAGATAGAGAGCTAATGGAACTAATTTTGACCAAAGAAATAGTCCCTATAAACCTCTGTGAGTATCAAAAATAAATTTCTTTTCTCATCAGTTGTATGGGAGTGGAGGCAGAAATCTCAGAGATGAATATCTTAAAACATGGTCAAATAAATCTAAAACTATCTGCATCGCTGGATACCACTACTAAGGTAAGTGAGAAAATATGTTTTCTGCAAGTCAGGTGAACTGACCTCTTTGGCTCTCCTTAAAAACTTCAAATTTCCCCTCACTCCCTCCCACTTCTGTCTTTCTCTTCGCCCCTCTTTCCTCCATACCCTGGTGTTGGAGCTGGTCCAGGTCCATAAATTTGCTGGGTTTGGGGTTGAATCCCATGGCTGCCTCCCGCTCAGCCTCCCTACGCTTCTGCTGCTCCTGCTGGCGGGCTCTCCTTGCCACCTCCTCCTGCAGCTCGTCCAGCTCACTGCGCCCCATGCCTGAACGCACACAAAAGATGGAAAATTAAATCATCAATCAAATCAAATGCATGTCCCAGTGGATAAACGCAAGTACACGCACAAATACACACCTGTGTTGGTGCCACCACCCCAGCTAGGGACGGGCAGCTCCTGCAGGATTGCACTGCTGCTCTTTGACTTAGGCACCGAACGCCATGAAGGTCCCGACATCAGCACCCGTTTATGTTGCCCCACCTCCCTGTGCAGAGAAAGAAAAAACAACAGAGAGACAGAGACAAAGAAAAACAGACAAAATTGATTGATTCGTTTTTATGGGCTACTATTGTTGGACAATCTGCCATTGTTAATGTCACAATCGTGTTTTATAAAGTGAAAAAGTGAACCGGGCAAACAAGAGCGAATCCAGGAGAGGAAAAGGCAATGAATGACAGAGACAGAAAGGAAGAGACAGTAATTGTTATTTGTGAGTACCTGTCAGGGCTGCTGCTGTTCCTCTCGCTGCTCTCGTAGCCACTCTCCATCCTCTGAATCAGACGTGGCTGGTGCTCCACCCCTCTCAGAGGTGGAGGGGCAGGGGGACCCATTGTCCACCCGCTGCCCAGAGACCTGGGCTGCCCGACCAGCCCAAACCCCGCCTCCAATTCCTGAACCTCCCTCCCTTCCACCTTTTGTAGCCCTGGCTGTGTGGGTGGAGCGGGTCCCGCCAAGGGAAGGGAGTCCTGGGGCTCCAGAGAGGAGCCTCTCGGTCGGGTAAAGATGCTGTCGATGTTCAGGGCCTCTCTCCTGGGCCTCCAGGTTGGCCTGTAGCGGCTTCCAGAAGAACTATAAAGCAAGTGAGGAAGATGTTACACAGGATGTTACATGACTCCAGGAGTGGAACGACTACTGTGATGTCTACCCAAATACAAGTTTAGTGACTGCTGAAAACTACTCAAAATGTGCAAATGTATCTCTAAGTAAAATCTTCTTAAAAGAATAATGACAAATTTTAAAGGGGAGTCAAAAAGCTAAAAACACATGACTTTCAAAATGCCATAATTCCAGTCCCGTAACTTAATAATAGTAATTATATGTATGTAAATAAGTATTACACTTTCAGTTCCACCAAAGCAACTTTTCCCATGTGAACTTCTCACCTGGTTTAATTTAGTGTTAGTAAGTGTTTAAGGCCTTAACAAGTCAAATTATCCAAAATGTCACAAAACAGTAAAGATTAGAGAAAAGTCCCAAAGATGAATAGAGATTTGTGTTGGAGAACTTCTTCTGTCCACTGTTGTGATTTATCTTTTGTTTCAAGATATTCATCATCATTATTACTATTGTTTGCAAGGTGTACTCACTTTTACATATTTAAAAATAAATAGCCAAATTTTTAGATATTGATCTCTTGAAAAACATATATATGTGTATCAGTGGTGCCGTACCTGGACTTGCTCTCACTGCTGGTGCTTTCATCCTCCCAGTGGGGACCCCCAACTCCACCCTCACAGCCCCCTACTCCTGACGAAGAGGAGGAGGACAGGGGACGAGAGGAGGAGGAGGAGGAGGTGAGTGGCCGGCGGGAGGAGAGGAGGAAGACAGCCGTCTCCTTGTACTCCGGCAGGGGAGGAGAGGGAGGACGGGGAGGACCCTCCACTGCTGACTCTGAATTGGGGGAAAAGAGGCAGAGAAAGAAAGGAAAAGAAAATCCAATAACATTTTAATTTATCCCCCAGAGGACAATTTTGTAGGCAGCAGTACGAGTAAATATGGGATTAACCAGTAACAAAACGAATAACCTGAACAGTCAGCATGGGGACAAACAACTCACTTAATTTCTACTAAAACTTAAAAACTGACTTTTGTTTGCTCTTAATGTACTTTGTGAGTTTAGATAACTCTGCGCCTGGACTCGAGTGCAGTATTACCTCCGGCTTCAGCACCAAGTGGCGGTGTGCCGATGTCGTAATTACAGACCACTGTGGTCTGGGATTCACTGGAGAGGTGGCTGCCTGTGGACTGGTGGAGGGATCGGCTGCGAGAAGCGCGGTGACTCGAGCTGTCCGTTGAAGAGTCGGTACGAGTATCGCTGGATATGGACGGCTCCCGACCTGAAAGAGATCAAGAGAAACAGCGGTGACCTTTCGGTTAATCCTCCATCTTCATATGTTTACAGTTAAAGGCAGGAAAGTAAGTTAAGTCTCAGTAGTATTCAGATGCAAAAGTTGGATTATAGGGTTGAAGGTCAGAGCTTTAAAGCTGTAACCTCGCATGCCCCCCCAAGGATAAACACAGAGTAATCTGATCTGATCTATAGTGTGTCATCTTTGCTGTACCAGAGTCTTCGCTGTCGTAACCAGCCTTGCTGCTGCAGTGCTGGAGCTCCAGCTGCGGGTTGGAGCTGGTACAGGGGTTGGGGCTCTCCTGCAGTATCACTGGCGTCCCACGGGGGTCAGCGTAGAGCAGCAGCAGGGGCTGATAGTGGCCTTTGATACACCGAGACACCACGTCCTTCCACTTTGGGCCAATCTGGAGGTGACATAAAGACACACACAAAACATACATATAAACCCATACACACACAACCACACACACAAACACAAAGAGAAAGTAAATCTATCCGTATTAAGGTATAAAATTACGCATATTCCACCAAAAGTAGAAGGTCAAACACACATTGTTCTGCTGTGTGTCCTTATTGATATCACATTATCACACTTTTCATTAGCTCAATAACCTAATATAAACGACAGTGTGCAAGGTGCAAGGACATGTAGATTCACTTTATGTCACACTTTGACATAGCAAACAAGCCCAGGTTTCCTCAACTCAGCCACCACAAAATGTAACATAACTCATGCTTAAATCATCATCATCATCATCAAGTATTACAGCAAAAGACCAGTCTGAGCACTTAAACCTGTGCTAAAATATAAGACAGGGAATAAACCTGAAACACATTATCAATCTCAAGCCGCCCCCGCTGACCATGCAGCACACTAACATACAGCATAGTTCTTGTCACTGCTACTCTCACCGGCACAACTGGAGATGCAGCAGATACTGTGCAACACACCCGCCCTGAGTTGCAGCATGCCAACTCCAAACTGTAGCTCACCTCCTTGACGTGGGCGTCGTCGAAGTACATCCACTTGCGTATCTTGGTCTGGAAGAAGAAGGTGGAGTAGTGCTTGCCGTAGTAGCACACCATGCCCACCAAGTATAGCTCCGCCTGGCGAGCCCTCTCCTCTGTCACACGGTAGAACAACTACGGAGAGAGAGAGAGAGAGAGAGAGAGAGCGAGAGAGGGAAAGATGGGGAGGGGGAGGAGACAGTGAGGGAGGGAGAGATGCAGGGAAGAGAGGGAGAGGTGTGCAGGGAGGGGGTGTAGAGATAGAGGAGTTAATGTGAATACAAGTACATTTTTGCTCACCTGGTATATACAGTATGCTGTATGCAGTAATCCTTCACATATTGCCTTTTCTTAAACTCCTCAATTTCCGCTCTTTGTGTGCTGCACGTACTGCACACATATGTGCTGCAGATTTTCTTGCAGAAATGATGCACTGATTTCACATGGATGTCTCAGTAAGGTCAACTACTGCGTATGACACTGCTGATATTTGCACATTTTATCTGCATACATTCTTCTTATAGATATCAATGTGACAAAAGTACTGAGGTTGTTGTTTAAAAAATGTTAACATAACCTTCTATATAATCCTATCCATGCCATATCATTACCTGCTGCAATAAGACATAATGTATTGTTTAATACAATAAAATGATGAATTCTCTAGGCCTGCATTACTTTCATTTTTTTTGTCAGTTAACAATTAGTCTACAAAATACCAGAAAATACCCCGTCACGGGTTTCCATAGCCCAAAGTGATGTCCTCAAATTACTGCAGCCCAGCAGCCCAAAACTCAAAGATAATCAATTTACAATGATACAAAACACCCCAAATCCTCATATTTGATACACTGGAGATTTTCAGCATTTTTGCCTGTTAAATGCAATTTATCCTTAATCGATCATTGATATCTATTAAAAACTGACAGGGAAGCACAACAGAGAGAAAGCAGATGCAGGACACAGACAAAAAGAGAAAGTGAATGCGGTGGAAGAGGAGGAGTCATACAGGAGGCAGGTGTATTCACTTTTTACTGATCTGAACGACTAAACAAAAGCGGGAAATGTTATAGATTTGCATCTAACAACTGGCTTCATCTCAGCGGGATGAAAACACGAGAGGCAGCAGCAGGCGGAGACAGAAGATAGAAGATAGAGGAAAGAATTTGACTCACTGTAACACATTTTCACTGATCCATTATTCATAGATATCACTTCAGAATGTGGCTGGAGATGTTACAGTGGCATTAAAATGTATCATCATTACTCAGTCATGGCACGGAGTATCAGGGGCCGAACACATGTGTGTGCGTGAGGTGTGAAAGCTGCTGCAGCAGCAGGAAGGGCATCCCGAGCTCTATATGTGAGTAATGAAGTCAGGTCAATTGTGTTGTCTGTGTTTTATTTCAGAGTGTGCTGGAACAGGATTGGTTGAGTTTACTTGCCGTTCCAGCATGTATCCAGCACATTTGTATTCTGTATTTGTGTTTGTCATTTAGTGCATGTGTATGTGTGTGTGTGTGTGTGTGTGTGTGTGTGTGTGTGTCTTTAAACATGTGTCTTTGTGTCCTTGCATGTGTTCATGTCTGACTGTTGTAGCATCAGTGTGTGTTTGAACATGCCTCTGGGTATTTGTACCTCTGACATGGAGGACATGGAGGAGATACAGGAAGGGTTGCGTTAGACATTTTTCCTTTTATGTCTGTGACATACTCACAGATAGAGACATTGAAAAAATAGTCAACAAGCCAAATGTCTAGAGATGATGTCGTGCAGCTGAAATGAAAAGCAAGAGGTTCCACGATGCACATGTGCTGCTCAGGTAGGCGGTTTGGCCTAGGCGCAAGAGTCTAAAGTCAAGCTAGCCACTCTGTGGGCCTATACTTAGGAAAAGTGGTGCTTTGAGCTAAACACTAAAGCCAGCATGCTAACATGCTCACTATGATATTACTAACATGCAGATGTTTTGCAGGCAGATTAGCTTGTTAGCATGTGAACATTTTCTAATAAAAATATCTAATGAAATGTAATCATAAACTATTCTTATTTGAGAAACACTGAAAATGTGGCCTGGTGGTGGCGCTAGATTAAAAGTCAGGGGATCACCAAAGCCAGTATGATTCATCCTCTGGAGACCATGCGTGTTTGTACCAACTTTCATGGCAATTCATACAATATTTGTCAAAATATATCAGTCTGGACAAAAGTGGTGGACCACATGACACTGCAAACACTGCAAATCCTAAGAGGGGCAAAAAATCACAGTGTTTTTGAACTGTTTGACTGGAACATTTTCTGTTGTAAGCCTCAAATTTATGAGTCTCACTGAGTCTATTGATGTTTATCTTGCAGTTACAAATACATTGTGTCTTTATTTATGTCAGCGTTGTGGCATACATGCTTGGCCACTCAGATTGGCAAACATAACACATGTTAATAACCATATAATGTCTGTCTGTAATGTGGGTGTGATCCCCTTACATCTCCCAGACGCAGGCAGGTCCCCAGGCTGTGTATGACGTCCTCCGCCAGGTCAGAGTGGTCTGAATCCCACACCAGCCCGATGGACACGATCTCCGGTGAGTTCATCAGCACCCGGCGGATACGCAATACCTCCCCACAGTTACTCTGTGACGGAGGGAGAGAGAGGAGGTAAAGAAAAAAGGGAGTGTGTGATCAAACAGGTTTACTGATCCTGTGTTATGAGACAGTGTGACAGCGATGTACACTGCTAAAACCATCCCTTTATTTGGCAGTGATGAACACATGCGCACAGAGGGATAAACTGAACAGTAGGAGAATAAGAGGCAGAGATAAAAAGCAGGACAAAAACAAATGATGAAAGGATTGTAAGAGAGAATGACAGAGGAAGAAGCGCTGTGCTGAGTTGTAATTGTCCCTTGGGCCTTCTGTTGAGTTCAGAACCGTGTGTTCTGAATCCTTCCTTTGAGTCATGACCCACCGCAGAGCTGGTGCACACACACACAAGTGTACACACATGCACACACACGAGCATGCACGCAGTGCTGGCAGAGCGGGCTCGGAAACAGCCTGAGAACACCCTGGCAACCAGACACTTTGCCAAACACAACACTCGCACACACACATATGCACAAACACACACAGAACTCTCCCTTTGTAGGCGTCGGGCTGTCTTGCGCTGGCACCAGAGATGGCAGGAAGGTATTTTGCCAGGGTCTGCTTCTCAATTCTCAGAAAGGGACACAAACACAAGCCAGGGAGTAGCAGCCAAACAGCACAGCACTGAGACACAGGCTATCTCTTAGCTTAGGACACATCGACGGGACACACAGCCTCAGATAGTTCTCAGCGCTGTCTCAGTGCTGAGAACAGCCGGTGACAACATCATTCGTCAAGTGATCGTACAAATTTGCTCTGCTTCATAACACAACATCGATCGGTGCAGTCTCATCTCTGAATTTTATATGCAAAGATTTCTTTTTGCTGTGGCTATGCAGACCTTTCCAAGACAGAGTGGGTTATATAATAGTGCTGCTGGTCAAAGGATACTGTAGGTTTGCAGAATGCTGATTGTTGCATTCTTCAGAGCAAAATGAAACAACTTCAGGAAAATATTTGTGCTTGTGCTTCCTCACGACTCAAACACCACCGAAATAAAGAGACAATCCCGCTTTTATCAATGTAGTGACAGCTGAGATTTCAGGCTGTTCATGTAGGGTTGGTGAACAGTAAACCCACCAAACAGAGATGGAAGGTTAATGAGTACATTTACTATACTTAAAAAAATAGCATTACTAGTTACTTTGCAGATTTTATCGTCAGCTTATCAAATATGACGCATTGTTGCAGATTAAACTACACAGCAGTATTTAAAGCAGTTCAAGTCAGCTCTGCTTCAAAAGACTACAATATTAAAATACTTCAAATCCTGCTTGATTCAGCCGCTGTTCACTTCGAACCAGCAGAAAGAACACTTAAAAAGACAAAAATACAAAAATCTTTCATGTGAAAAAAATATAATTCAAATTATTGTTTGTTCATGTAGGATCTTCTCACTTATAGTAAGAAGCTGTTTGGGCTGTTAGGTTTTAATGGCCTTCAAGTAAAATGTTTAAATTGAATTTTACATTTTGATATTGCTACAGTAAAAGATCTAAAAGTGTTTTCCACCAAAGCATCAAGAAATTCAAATTACTTTAGCTTATAGCTGAATTTCAAACAACCAAAAATTGTTCATCCAGAACGTCACATTTCCTCTGTCAACTCTTTGGCACCAAGCAAACATCCTCACACTCTCCTATCTTCAATCTGACACCTACAGTATCTTCCAGCAGCCTCACTGCCGTCCAAATACCATCACTTTGTTTGAGCAAAGCCCAAGGTGGTATTAACAAAAGATCAGCGCTGCAAGTGATGGAAGATAAACAGGCAGGTTGTGTGACTCCCCACAGGACTGCGCACACAACGTCAGAGTTTGGGCTGTGAATAAGCTAATGGTGTGTATTAGTGTGGTTGCAGGTTGTGCTGCTGTGTAAAGAGAGGGGCGGCTGAGGAGGCTCTTTGTGTGAATGCTTTGGCAGAGAGGGCATGGCTGAGAGGGGCCAAGTTTGATCTATTCAGCAGCAGCTCTTTCCCATGTGGCAGCAAAACACACAAACCTGCAGAACAAAGGCATCATACACGTTCCTATGTCCACCTCTTTCACTACCTGCACCTCTCTCTTACGGTCTACTGTCATCTTTCTTTCTCTGACGGCAATCTCTCTTCAATGCAGCATATAATATATTTTTTTTAAATCTATATAATATTTTAGATTATTTAGTTTTTTAAAAACCAATTTCCACCCAAGAACAACCACATTTTTTGAAGAGCATAGTGGTTAAAAAAGTATTTCTTAACCTGCACAAAGCAAATGTTCTTTTGTTTCCTGCTGCAAGATGATCCTTCTGGTATTACTGTGAAGGAGGTTGATGACGACAACTCAGAAAACGCTACCGGTATTAGAAAGTGAAGAGAAAAATAGGAAGAAAATTACAATGACCTGCTGATTATGTAACCAAGAAAGAAGGGGGGGGGGACAAACAAGAGATGATGAAATTATTAAAGTGGCTCTGCAAATCATAACTTTAAAATTAGATTGTCACGCAGCTTTTTGTTTTATTGTATTCTTTTCCCCATCTGTCTTTTGATATTTTTTGTTTTCTTGAAAAACAAAACCCACGTCATATTGGATTACACTGAAAGATGATGAACATGGAAGGGGACAAAATTTTTAAAGCACAGTTTATGTTGTGTACATTCTTGTGTGTGTGTGTGTGTGTGTTTGTGTCTGTGTATACTCACAGGGCAGTTGCGCAGGTCTCCCATGTTGCTGGCATTGCGGAGCAGTTCTCCAAACATATCCGGTGTGGGTTTCTCTCGGCACTCCAGCATCCTCACTGCCTGGTTACTGCAGCATTGGACAAACACACACAACAAAAACAACAATACAATTACACACTCACTGAATGTGTATGCTTTCCAGAATGAGCTTTTGTGAATAAAAGACAACATCTATTGTTGAGTCCAAATGTGACTTGTGGCCACCGGAGACATTGTTTCCATTCTTTAAACATGTTAAGTTTGTCTTTTGCATTGTGCCGTGCAGTATTGCATTAGTATCTAAATACATCCAGTTTGTCTGGCCTTGCATATTGCTTAAGAAACCAAACACACACACATCTGTACTGACTCTGAGTCATTCCCACAGGCTTTTACTAAACTGCTTTAATAAAGAAAATTATACAAAGGGAAAGAAAAGGAGGAAAAGTAAGAACAAATCTAGACTATACAGTCATTAAGGCTGCGAAAAAGATTCCCTCTGAGCAAGTTTCTAAATCCTGTCTGGCAGATTATGATCTTTGACCTTCCTAAAGTGGTCGAGCTAAAAGACAATTTCCCTTCAGGGAGCAATAACAGAAACATTATTATTGTTACTGTTATTAAAGGAGAAGTTCATCTACAACTAGCATCATTTGAGGAAAAAAGCTTTATTTGTGAAACAAAACTGTATTGCTACTGCTGACATCTTCAGCAAGGCTTAAAGCAATGATACTTTTATACTGAGCTGCATTTATCCCTTAAAAGTACAATGTTCTCTGAAGGACAAACTCAAATATACATTACTTTTATCTGTAAATACCAAAAGAGCTTGCTGGAGCCCTTCTGCAGCTCGGTACCATGTATGGGATTATGCGTGCAATGAATCAGCATTGTTTTTTCTGATGAAGTATTCTTTTAAGAATAAAGATTTTTCAAAACCATCCAAATCTCTCATGCTCTACGCCCCCCACCCCCCCACCCCTTCCATTAGCCTGAAATGAACTCAACCTCTTCTCTCCTCTACTCTCTCTGACTCGATTTCAACCCCTCCCTCAGCGTCTCCTTTTAAGATACGAGGCTACGAAAGCAGAAAAAACAACAAGAGCCCAGAACACACTTGTACCAGTGTTTGAATTGTGCTTGAACCAGACGTTTGTTTTGTCTTTTTGTTGCCCTCTGATTATCTTACTCATGTTGACTTTTGCATTTTTGGCTATCTCGACTGTAAACAACAGGCTCTGCTAAGGGTAAAAATAGCTTGGCATTGCTAACAGGCGCAAACACAGAGCAGTGCCACCGCTGTTCCCCACAACTAGCACAACACAGTGTGTTTATTTGTACTTTTGCCCCCCATACATCCCTTTATTTCCTCTACCATGATCCAATTCCAAAAAGGATATGGAGTGATGTATCCTCTTGTTTCCCCTCTTATAGATTTGTGTCAACCCCTGGATCTACTGAATCAAACAGCTGATTGATTACTTCCCCTGTTGCTTATTTGATTGACTCTGAGAGTGTGCAAGTTTTATGTAACAGCTCTGAGGATGCACACATGCCACTCCAGTGTGTGGATTTACCTGTGTGAGTAAGTGGACGCTAATGTCTACCTGAACATGGGAGAGGCATTATGCACAAGCTCACCTGCTCTTGCATGTGCATGAACATACACATGTGTGTGTGCATAATGTGTGTGTGCATTTGTGTGCTCACAATTCAGTGTTCAGCAGGGACCCATGAAGAGAAGAAGAGAACACGCTGTACCTTCCTTTACTGCCACCCAGCCTCAGCTTGCTGCCAGATTTACTGCAGTGTGTGTGCTGTGTGAGTGTGTGCGTGTGTGTGTGTGTGTGTGTGTAGGTGTAGGTGTAGGTGTAGGTGTGTGTGTGTGCGCGCGCGTGCGTGCGCGCGTGTATGTGTGTGCGTGTGTGTGTGTCTGGTCTTACCACAGAGATGTAGTGGAGATATAATGAACCATCTGAATGAAGGGCAAGGGGTCTGATGTGGCTCCACAGCTGTTACACACACACTTCAAACACAAATACATCATTAGATTCATTGCAGGACATCGTGTTCTCAAAAATGTTTGTGTGGACGGTTATTTTTATTTAATTAAAGCCCCAAAAGTGAAACATGTGGCAGCCCTTTAAAGTGACAGACTAAACTATCTCTTACCTGTTCGAACAGAGTCATGGCAAACTTCTGGTGTGGTATACAGTGTTTGGCTGTGCAAATGTCCTCTCTACTCTCTGCGCTGATGTGGAAGTGGATACGCATCAAGAGATTCTCCTGAGAAACACATAAGGCAAAATGGACATCACTAAATGTGTGTATGTATAGTGTGAATGTGTGTGTGCTAAGTTGACATATGTGCTTGGTATTATTGTATACATATGTACCGTGTGTGTGTGTGTGTGTGTGTTTGATCATTCCTCTCTGACGGTGCTCTTGTTAATCTGATCGTGGGAGCAGCATCTATATTTCATAAGAAGCCGACGGATTCCCTGACTGAACATATTTACTACCAATCGATCAGACAGCGTCTCTCATGCACACACATAAAACACACACACACAGACTGTGGAGGTCTTTAAGGCAGAAAGCAAGAGGCAGAGAAAGAAACTGAAAGTGGCGGAGAGAAAGCAACAGGAAAGGCTAATTTTCCCCCTCTATAAATAATTGTTTTGATCCAAAATGAGACACATAACACTCTCACTGCTCAATGTGAATAATGTGAAGATCTTTGCTTCTGAAGAAGTAAATTCCAAATATTATATGATAAAAGAGCAGGAAGGAAATCTTTAATCTTGAGATTAAATCTAGGGTTGCAACAAATAATTATTTTCGTTGTCAATTAATCAGCTGATTTTGTTGATGATTTGTCTGGTCTGCAAAACACATGACAAGAGTGAAAACAACAAACGTCTCGTTTTGTCTGACAAAACATATTGGAAGTAGGGCTGGACGATATGGCCAAAAATGTTATCACAATAAAAACTTTCATACCTTTCGATATCAATAATTATCACAATAAGTATCAAATCGTTACTTCTTTCGAGTTTAAAGGCTGATTTTTGCTCCTGAGTGAAAGGTGAAGAAACCTGATGGTTAATTGTTGTTTAAACTTTATGGTCAACATTTGATGCCAAACAGTGGATTACTTCACAAATCTGAGGTAGAACATTCAAAACAATTATGACAAATCTTTGTCAACAAATATGCACGAGTAAAATTCAGTAAAAGCTTTTTTCAACAAAATAAACATCTTAATAAAAAAAATTAAGTCCTATTTGTGTATGATTCAAGTTTCAAACATTTATTGAATATTTATTGGACATTCGTTATATTGTTGTTGAAAAAAGTTATATCGCAATAATTATTGTTATTGTCCAGCCCTAATTGGAAGACAGTGAAAAGTAGCAAATTTTTTCCACATTTCAGAAGCTGGAACCATCAAATGTTTGGTGTTTTTGCTTGAAAATGACTTAAACGATTGATTGGTTATCAAAATAGTTGCTGATTTATTTTTATTTGATCAACTAATTAATTAATTAACTAATTGTTGCAGCTTGTTGCAACAATTCAGTTAAGTTTAACTCACTTTAAACTTGCAATAACAGATTTTTTTGGCCACTTGGGTACAGCGGAAACAAGTTGTTAACACCACACTGGAACCTTATGAGGGGCATTTGACTGCATGCGACCTTGCAGCGCAATGTAATGCATGCTGGTCTTAAAATAAAGCATGCTCACATTTGACCATTAACTCAGTGAAAGTTCGTAGTCATCTCGAACGCACCTATGAAGTTTATATGGGGAACTTGTTAGCAAACATTTGCTTATCAGTATATCCAGCAGTTATGGAGCAAAATTATCGTTCATTTGGAGTTGTGTTTCTTGCAACAAATCCAATATTCACTCTCTTCTAGCTCTGTTTTTGGTCTCTACCAACTCCTGAGGTAAATATCTGGCTCTTTAGCGGCTAAATGCTCCACTACGTTCACCAGCTAGATGCTAACTGTATCTGCATACTTTTTGGTGCTGAGAAGGTAGTGTACAGTGGGTTTTTACAGCTATTTCTATGAAAGCAGCACTATGAAAGCAGTGAGAATGAACCACAACAGTAAAGTTGCAGCCGAACAGCTAAACTATGATCTGAAGCTCTCTATACAGCTTAGTAAAGCCAAGAACTGATCATTTGTGTGATTATTCTTTGTAAATTCACCACGACAAGCTATCACATTATTTGATACATTGTAATTGTAAAAATATCTGCTACAAAATAACCACATACACCAGTTCTGTCCACACAAACTTAGTATTTTACAATGTGGTATTATTCACAGCTTTGATAAAATGTAACTTTATCTAAATCATCTTAAACAACAAACTATGCGGTGTGCTTAGATACGTCGAGATTGTCTGATGCACAAGACATCGTAATCCTGTGGTTATATTAAGCCTGCGCTCGCAGTCAGATTAAAGAAAGAAAGAGTGGGTGGACAAAATAACAAGAAATACCTCACACCTCAACTACACTACTTGCTCAACATAATACAGTGTAACAAACCAAAAAACACCAATTGTGGCCTCACAAACAGACAATCAAAAAGTGAAAAGTCAAAACAAAAGATGAACATTACAAAAAAAACTATTTCTTTGAGGCAGCTGTAGCCTATTGACTAACCCCTGTCCCCTGATGATTTCTGACTGCAGTGAAGATTGGAGTTCCTCAGACGCTTACTCAGCTAAGCCTTAAGGCAACCCCTCTCCCCTCTTTCTGTGTGTGTGTGCATGGCCATGTTGTGCCTCAGACTCACAAAGCATTCAGCAGCGTCGTCCATAATACCCAGCTGAAACCGTTGTTCGTCTTGGAAAGTCTTAGCCAGAGCACTCCGCAGTGCATCTGATGGCAGCACACGCTCACTGCTGAACTGGAACTGAGCAAAGATACTCTGCAAAAACACACACACATGCACACATATAGAAATCCATTAATTCTTTATTTCACTGCTAAAAATATACACTGTGCCATAAATGCTTTTCCTGAAAGACTCCTGCATTGTTGGAGTGGAAACTTACAGTATGTGTGTCCACGCAAACTTGTATATATTTATGTGTTTGTGTATTTATTTCAACAGAACTCTCTAAACACAGTTGTACTGTAAATCAGTCCCATGTTCTGTCAACTGACCCATAAAAAAGACCCAGTGGAACTAGATGTCAGGAACCAAAGTGCTAGACAACAAACCCAGAATGGACGAAAACAAACGCCACAGCCGAGCCTCACGGCGCAGCCGGCCTCAATATCAGACCATATCAATAATAAATGCCATTTGTAGTGCACTTTTCTCTGACAAAAACAGCTCTCAGAGTGCTTTGTAGCAGTAAAATAGAAACCAAATCAAACTGTTGCAGGGGGCTAGGAGAGAAAGCTAGGCCACTGAAGTGTGTTTTGAGGGCAGCGTTCAGAGCCTGAAGAGGAGGATCAGCCAGTTCGGTGAGGACAGAGCTGTTTACACCCATGCAGGTCCCACCGACTGCCAGAGCAACACAGCAATTTGTGTATTTATGTGTGTTTTCTGTTTTGCCCTCAAATTGCTGCTTCATTTGTGTAGCAGTGTATGTGTTATCATTATCACCCCTGTTAAGGAGGTTATGATTTTAGTCCTATTTGTTTCTCCTATTAGTAAACAGGATATCTCAAAAACTTCATAAACACACGTATATGACATTTGGTGAAACGTTCGGCCAAGGAATAACTAAGTGGTTGTTGAAGTGAATAGATTCACCTTGTGCTTATCTATGATGCATTTTACATTTCAGCTCATATCTCCAAAACCACTGGTGACCAACCTTTGTTGGCTTGTGACCACCTGAAACAATTTCCTGACATTCCTGACAATATTTGGATAACCTGAAAAAATGGTTCTGATTTGTTTATTGATATTCCACTTTGATATTTCCTGTATGCTTACCACATTCTTGGATTAGACTTAAATGCCTTGACTGTATTAGTTCCAAATTTGGTTGAAAGGTGCACATATCTACTCCCAGCAAAATGACTGATTCCAGTGGAATTGAAATTCTGCACAAGTCATCATGTATAATATTCAGGACTTTCAATATGTGTACTTTGATCTGGATCCAGATGCAGAGTAAGATATTGTAAACATTGTGTTATGAAAATGACACATTTAGAGTATTGTGTTGTCTTGGTGTTGTAGTAGCAGTAGTAACAATAGTTTTAGCAGTAGTAACAATAGTTTTAGTAGTAGTACTCTTAAAAATGACTCTGTGGCTCATGTGGATTGATCCAGATGAATCTGTACTTTAAATGCATTTTATAAGTCTAAACATGAGTAGAAAAAGTAGCATTCAGTTCAAGCAGAGGCTGTGAGAGTAACATCTGATTGAGCCTAGACTGTAGAGAGCTGCAAACGTCTAAAGAGGGAGAGATAAAAGCATGGATAACTCTCTAGAGATTGCCGACGGATAAAAACGACCTAATTTTTCGTTGGTAAGAATTCTCAGCTGGAAAAAGTAAAACTGAGCGACTATTTTTGACCAACACTAAAACATCCCACAACAGAGATAAACAAAATTCAGATTGACATGTCAAAGCAGTAGTTGGTCCTCTGCTTGGTTTCTGTCCCAGCGGTCATTCACTCATTAGATGGCTGTACTGAAAACCAGCAGGTGCTCTGTGTCCTAAAGGCTGAGAGGCACTGTATTAAGTGACAGAAAGATATTCACAGTTCATCGGCACACATGCGTCTGTTTGTATCCACACTGGTCCCATTTTAGTTGTGTAAAATCAAGCACAAAGCCTCAGCAGGAATGTAAATACATCTTTGATATGAACAGAATGACTATTTTGTATATTTTCTAATCAAATATCGATCAATACCGTAAAACACTGATTAATAGTCCGGGCTTTTATTTGCTAAAATCCCTGAAACCTTGCCTATATTTGGGTCAGGTGTCCATGTGGGACAGGCCTTTAATTCCTTTAACTCTTGCTCAGCAAAGATATGAAATAGGCTACTATGAAACTGTTTATTTCAACCAGTATGAATATTATTATATTATTATATTATTTCAAATAACATATCAATTGAAAATCCTACATTTGATCTAGCACCGACAGATGTCTTAAGCACTTTTATTTTGCAGGTAGCAAGGTAACAAAAACAAACATAACCAACAACATGGTGCAGGATGCAGAGAGAAGTGTGGCATAAGTTAGAAGACAGAGAGCAATGGACTTCACATGACAGGATTCACAACTTTGATTCATTTTTATGAAAAGCCGTTTTGATCGGTGGACCCTTACAGACTAAAGGAATATAAATAATCAAGTAATGGACACACACATTCGGACAAGTTTTTTTTTCATCTGTTGTTTACCATGCCAGCAAATCTGAATGAATTAAGACTTCAGGTCTCGTTTCCATAAAATAAACTTTGATTGAATTGTTGAGAATGTAACTGATATAACAATGTGTAGCATGTCCCTACTGACAAACGTTTAAAAATTTATATTTGTAAAAACCTTTGCAGGCCAGTAAATGGGACCAGCGGCTGTTTGGGACTTCGCTATTAATTAAAGTTTTATGGTAGATCTAATATCTGAAGTTACTGAATTCATGAAAGCAAATGTAATCATAAATAAACCTCCTACAGCATACTCAAAAAATTAAAAAACGGAGGTTCTCTCACAGAGTTGCAAAGCTTTTGATTCATCAAAGTGTTATGGTAAATATAATATTTCAGTGATCCTCTACAGTTGGCTTTGTATAGAGTGTGTTACCACAGGAATGTAATGAGAAGTGATATCAGTTGTAGCTGACGCAGAGAGACATTTATGTTTGCTGCTCACGACTCTGTTGCAAGCAGCCAATGGAAGCCGAACAAGCAATAAAAGGAAACAGTGTATTTAGACATGTTTAAGTGAAAATATGAACATTTGGGAGGACAGTGGAGAAGCAGGTAATGCTGCAGGGATGATGTGAGAAATGTTTATAGATGTTTAATACTTTTTCTACCACCAAAAACTTTCAACTTTGGAATCAGTTGTAGCCAATGTGAACTCAAGCCGACCACAGCAGCTATTCTTTATAAAGGACAAAACTAGAAACTTTTAACAGCCCTTTCAAGGAAGCGAGTGATTGATACTTTAACAGTTCAGGGTGGAGTACCACCCAGAATCATAAATATTGAAATATGAATAGCAATATATATTAATGACTGTAAGTTTGCAAAAACTAAACTGCCATTTCGAAGCAAAGAAATTGGGGAAATGAATTTTCAATAAGTCAATGAGTGATATCAGAATTTCCAGCCAGGTAAACATCACAAAATTAATATCAAGTCTTAATCTGTGGGAAATTCAGACAAGTAAACGATTCCTGGTGTTGTTTCGTGGAAATAGTCACATAGTTTTACTTCACCCTTTTTTATGTCGTTGGTTATTTCAAAATTTCAGATCCCATATTTTACATTTTGGAAGCAGTTTACCAAGATGGCTGTGATCATGCAGTGAAAATGTTATAAAACAATAGGCTTCAGTCTGTGAGTGTGTGCAGGCTGAGGGTTGGCAATGAGAAAGGTAATGCAGTCGTACTGACAGGGAGCAGTGTGTGTGTGTGTGTGTGTGTGTGTGAGAGAGAGAGAGAGAGAGAGAGAGAGAGAGAGAAGAGAAAACAGAGAAAGAGAGGAAAAAGGGACCATGTGAGCAATAGGGTGTGTGTGTGTCTGTGCGAGTTTGTGTGTGTTATGGTGGCTGTGCTGACTGCAGCAATGCGCCAAGGAGAATGGAGGGGGAATATACCCTACAGAGAGAGGGAGGGAGGAGAGGAGGAGGGAGGGAGCAGGGAGGAGAATAGGGAGGGATGAGGCAGAGTGAGTAAGAGAGGGAGGTGTGTGTGTATAAATGTGTGTTCTGTGCATGCACTGGTCTAAGTGTGAATCTACACCAACTCCCACATTCATTCATCTTTCTCTTTTCTTCTCCCCCACTTTCTCTTCGTTCCTTCTTCTTCTTCTCTCTTCCCATTCCCTGTAGTGTGTGTGTGTGTGTGTGTGTGTGTGTGTGTTCAGGTATGTGTGTGTGTGTGTGTGTGTGTGTGTTTGTGAGTGCTTTGCTGTTGAGAGAGATAAAGTGTTGCAGTGATTTCTGGAGGGATAGCCACAGGCAGCCTCTGAACTTATGTTTACTACAAGGGCGGGCGTCTTTATCTGCTGCAGATAAACCAAAACTCTCACACAAATCCCTCCAAAATAAAATAACCCATAATCCTCATTTATCTCTTTTTGCTTCTCTAAAATGGATGAAAATTTAACACGCCATTAAAGTTCATTTGTCGCGCGTCTCGCCCAGTTATTAAGTCTTTTATCTGCTTTGCCGTGGGGACCACAGCTACAAACAGACTGTACGAACAACGTTACATCTGTTCTTTTCTGACAAAGGAGCGACGGTGACAGGACGGTTAATGAAAACTGACAGAAAATGTGAACACTTACAATACCTTTGATTCTTACACCCACAGCTGACTCACAACACCCCACAAGCCTGTGTATGTGTAGCATCTCAGCATGGAAAGAAAGATTTGTGAGCACCTTAAGGTACATGTGTGTAGCAGCCTAACGTGTGCAGCATGCAAGTAAGATTTGTGTGCATGCGTAGGTGTGTGTGTGTGTGTGTGTGTGTGTGTGTGTGTGTGTGTGTGTAACATCCCAGCGTGGGCTCTGCTGGCTCAGCGCTTTCAGTCAGCCAATTAATTACAGAGAAGCGCTGGAGACAGAGCAGCGTGTAGAACACACACATCGACACTGCTACACACACACACACACGACCACTACTACACCACAGCACATTACACACAACACTTCCCTTCGCTCAGACGCATATTTGTCATCATTGATGCAACAAATGGCTGGAACAGAGCTACATAAGGCTCGTTCATTATGAGGGTTTCATGATGTTACTGATCTTCATCTTCTGTTTGGTTACTTTTTATGAGCTGCCGCTGGAACACAACAGTGATTCAACCTGAAGCTACATTATAAAAAATACACGTGCTGTTTCTAAACACTTAATGCGAGGCAGCACTTTACTGGGAAAAAGTGTCTGGGGCATAGTGCGTGATGCATTTTACACAATGGTGTAAGAAGAAGAAAAGAAGAAGCAACAATACAGAGAAAAAATACCATATTACAAGTAAAAGTCCTGCATTCAAATGTTTAAACGTAACCAAGCAATATATTGAGTATTCAGAATCTACTTATACTATTACTTATCATTAAGAAGAGCCGAGTTTAGTGTCTAGTGAAACCACCTTTTCTTGATTCAGATCATTTGACAAAGGAAAAGAAAGGAAATAATGATGGGAAAGAAGGACAAAAAGAAAGAAGCAAGGACAGGAAGGAAAGGAAGGACAGAAAATAGTGAGGGAAGAGAAGGTGATATGTTAAAGAATGAAGAAATAAGGTAACAATCCAAGGAAATGGTAAAAAAGTAAGAATAAAATAATGTGATCAATGGCGTGTGGTCAGTCGGAGATCAGCAACAAAATGATACACAGGTATCATTATACACCAGCTAAACTTTATGTTTACAGTTGGAAGTGTATAAATGATCAAAGGTTTTGCAGTGTGGTTGCATAACTGCTGCAAGAATCTCCCCCGCTGTGTTTATTGGGAGACAGGTCTCGCCTTCCATCGGGTATATCCAGGACAACAAAGACAAAGAGAAAAGAAGGGGAAAAGACAGAACACATCAGCGATATCATATGAGTTTATGTAAGGTTTTGTTTGTAAAGTCTCGCTGTCAGTTACATGCAGTGGGGTAAAAAGTAAAATATCTCCTTCTGAAATGTGGTGGAGGAAGGGATACACATAAGTAGTACTAGTACCTCATATAAATATACCACTTTAGTAAATGTACTCCAGGACCACCCTCTGGTTTACATTTCTGACACCAGTGTTTGTGTATTAAACAGTAGGAATTAACAGGAAAAACCAGAGGAGGAAATTGGTAGTCAGTGATAACCACGACAGCTGAAGAGACTTAGAAACAGCACCACCTTCAGAAACTCAAACCTTCTCAGCAGCAAATCTGAGAAAAGCTTTAGGTTTATAGTGAGGCCTCCACAAGCCATTAGGGAAGAGTGTTTTTACCTTTAAAGCGCAGAAGATACACGAGTCCTCCATGCATTTGTGTGTGGTCAGCTGTCGAAAGCTTCTGCGGAAGATGTCGAGATGCCACAGAACCTGAGAGACAAAACACATATCTTTACACAAACAGAATATAATAAAGCAACTGGACAACCTGTTTTTATGGGATATACAGTGTATTTTAGTAAACTATATACATTATGTTTTGTCCCAGGTCCCACTGGAAACGAGGCCTTTAGCCCTTTTGCTGCACTACTGCTTTTCTTGTGTTGTTTTGTCTTCTCTTCTTTCCCCTCTCTTGTGCTTTCTCTGAGTGACAGCAGTTTGTTAATATTTTTAATGTGCAGCTTACTGTGTTTCTTCTGTCCTATGGTGGAGTTGTCATACTGTGTCTCACAGAGGACAGGGACATACCTGAATCTAACTAAAACCATTTGAACTGGGTTTGAGGATGATGCTTTCACAGGCTCTTGCTTTAGCAATAAGTAGGCAAAGGAATGCACAGTTTATTTTAGTCCACTGGTAAACTAATTTAAAAGTCATATTCATTCATTAAAAATGTGATCTGTATCTGGATCAGTGGTTCCCAAAGCGGGCACCTCGGTAGCCTCGGGGTGTTTTAAGGACAGGCCAAGAGGACAAGATTTGTTCATTTCTATCCATTCATCATAACTGTTTAATAACGTTTACGTACAATTAAAAAATGTTTATTTACTTAAAATAAGATGTTATATGATATTTTACCACCATTTGTTTGCAGATATTCCATTATTAAGATTGGTGACATGACAGCTTGAGGTTGCCAGTTGACATAGTAACACAACAGGCTTTCTGGGAGCACAGCAGTCAGAAGTAGCGACTGACAGAGCAAGTAAGATTTAAAGGGAAAAGTTATTATTACAGGGTGCCGTGGATTATAAAAGTTAATGAATACATTATCTGGATAATGTATGTCAGATGTCAGATGTTATTGTCAAACTACTTTTCTGCCCAGCAGGTTGATCTTTCTCACAACAGCAAACGAGCAGAATGAATTACATCTACGCCCAGCAGCACGTAACTGTGATCACAGTGCGAGCCAAAGCATTCTTTCCACTTAGTCACATGTTGGGTTGAACGTGGTGAAGCTGCTCTGTAATATTTTTCAGTTCAGGGGGTTAAAAGCTCAACTGGCTCAAACAAACAGTTTACGGCTGTAGGGAGGGATCCCTCTATTACACTGTGAACCAAGGTTCAGGTACTGCCATGGTAACCTCAGCCACAACTAATTTGTCGCTTTGTAGATTAGTCTCCTTGATTGGTCTTGATTCATTTAATTAGCATATAACAGAAATAATGCTGCAATCCTGGTGTCCAGACTATAGTAAATTGGTTTGTTGATGACTTTAATCTGAGGTTTTGTTTAACTTTGGATGCTTTGGACAACTCCCACGTACAGATTTATGGTGAAAAACCTGATTATCAATCAAGTATCCTGTGGCTTTTTTTAAAAATCAAGCAATATTTTTTATACTAACATTGAATCAAATTACTTCCTGTAAAGTGGGATGGTTGCAGAGAATCAGCAACCCAGTCCACAGCTCTGTGTGGCTTTCAGCCATTTGTAGCTAATTGTTTTTTCCAGCTCTAACTGAGGGTGGTTTCTACTCTGTATATATTCAGCAACAAAAGAGTCAGACGGAGAGACTCAGTGGGGCAGACAAAGACTCAGTGGGGCAGACAGACAGAAAACAGCCAGCACAAAGTCCAAAGAAACAAGGAAGAACATGTGAAAACTAGCAGAGAAGTCGTCTGCATGAGGTAGACCTCTTCATGTCCTCCTCTCTCTCTCTAGTGCATAATTAGAGGAATGAGCTCTTAATAAATTCATTCAGCATGCTGAAAGATAATATTGACACAACACTGTCCCTAAGGCTTCGACTGAGATCTGCACCACTCCCGCACAGGACCACACACACACTTACAGTATGCACATACAGTTGTAGATCTACATGCACACTAGACAGTAGCACACACACACAAAACCAATATTTATGGCAACCTTAGCAATACAATTCTGCACAGTGTGTGTTTGTGTGTGTTAGAAGAAGTAGAAAGTGATAGGCGGAGAAAAGAGGGGGCGAAGGATGACATACTGCATGCTGACGCTAGTGTATGCGTTCTACCTTTTTCCCCTTCTTTGTTTCCCCTCCTCTTCCTATAGTTTATTTGGTCGTGATGAATCGGCTCCCTTCACAGCACTGCAGCAGTTGCAAGGAGGGCACACTCTCTCCATGCCCATCTATCTATCTATCTATCTATCTATCTATCTGCAGGAGCGTCTTGGAAACTATAGTATAACTAACTAACAAACATATAAAGTGATAATAGAAATCGATCTCATCAGCTCATGTTTTTAGGAAGTCATCATCTTCTGCCTCGTTGTCATTATAATTTGAGTTACAGACAAATCTGACCAATGACACTGGATGCAGAAATGCCAGTATTTGATTGGCTGTGGTGGTCTTGGATGTGGTTGACATTGCCATATGTACACATGAGGGATCCACAGGAACAATACATGCATGTAATCCAACCAGTTTCATCATGTTTAACTGTTCACTGTTCATTGTCTTTAAACTGTATCAGAGCTGTATGAAGTTACTGCTAAAGCAAACAGAGTAAATAGTGAAATGTGGGGTGGCTTTTATTGTGAACCAGCCACAGGAAATGCAATGTGTTTGTCACCCCAGTAAGCAGTAATTGTGATCTGTAAAGTAGCTGATCAGGTTGCTTTATTACTGTTTCCACAGTAAACGTGGGTGACTCCAAATCCACCAGGTCTAAAATGTTCAGGATTAAACCTCCTTAACACCCTTGATGAGTTCAAAGAATCACCATGACACCAGATCATAGGACAGATTATGCTAACTCTGACTACTTAGCTGGGAAAGAAGTTAGATACACTTGTTCCTCTGAGGGAAAAATATCTATTTTGAAAGTAATCTAATGGCAAATGGTAAAACGTAGCGTAAGAGTAGCACAAAAAGAGAAGAGTCTGAGAACTGACAACAATTTCTAAAGTTTGCTAACATTAGTAATCATAAGCTACTGGTCACACCAGACTAAGTAAGGTTGAAGCAGCAAAACCACTGCAGGCTTTCATTCATTACAGCATTTGTTCATACTGTTATTAGCGTGTGTATGTGTGTGGTGACTGCTTTGTGTGATTTAATTGTCTTGTGTGTGTCAAATGATGGGCAAAAAAGATCTTGAACAAGTAGAGCTTACCTAACATGCAGATTCAGTTTTGTTCGTTGTGTGACTGATTTGTAATTTGTTTACATTCTTTGGTCAATAATGCAAACCTTAGAAAGGGCTTGCTGTAACTAGTGGCTTCTTTTTTGTAAAGGTCAGAAGTTTTAAATGTCAATAATTTGGTAATAAATGGAATTTTCCCCAGATACTCTGCAGGTCTGTGAAGAAAATTGTTAAACTGTCTATAAAGAGCTAGATTAACATTTATTATAAATAGCATCTTAATACTGAACTGTAAGCATAAATAAATAAGTTGTTATACATAATTAAAACCATTAGGTATGACCTATAAACCCTTTATTACATAGCCTTATACCTTTTATTGGGTATTATTTATTATTGGTATCTGTGCACATATACAACCACAACATACAGATTATTAATGTTGTCACAGAGAGGAGCAATTTCTGGCAGATTACAGAGGTTGTGTACATCAGTTGATCATCAGATGGCCCTTAAAATCACCAATCACATTCAAACAAACCACTAATTATATTTAATTAATATAATCAGGATATATAAAATGAAATGAATGAATGGATGAATCTCTATCTAATCTGACAAATTCTCATTCTCATACTCATTCAATCTGCTCTGCCTGCCTCACACTGCTGTTCCTGGCTGTGTTGGTTGATTTCTGCCCTCCACGACCCCAGCTCTTCCTGTTCTAGTCTCTTGTTACTGCACGAGGCAATGGCATCTCCTTTTCCTGTTCATTTTGTGTATCATATGATACCGCTGTCATGGCAACAGTCAGTTCTTAATTTTTCTGCACTTTCGACTATCTGTCTGCCAGCTAGGTTTTTCACAGCAGACATTCTGACTTGTCACAGTAGGAAAAGCACAGGCATTAACGTTACATCCAAATGTTATCATTAACAATGGCTCTGTCATATTCGTGTGTACCTCTAAGCTACGACAGTGTGACAATGAACCCGCATGAACTATACCAGGAGCCTGAAACTGAAGCAGCTAAATGGAAATCAGCCATCATTAATTTTATTATTCACACTTGTGCTTTTCCTACTGTTAGATGTCAACATGCCCCCCCCCAACCACATCATCATCTGACCTCCACGCTGGCCTTTGCACCTGCTCCCATATCTTCATCAACCGCTGAGTATATGTACATGCCCCTTTCCCTATAATCAAACATGCAGTGTTGGGTCTTGTCCAAACATCACCTACCAGAAACGTTACAACTGTTGTTTACTTCTTGCTAAACCCTGCACTGCTGCTCGGATTCACTGGGACGCCCATTGTGCCTAATGAATGTGTAAAACAATCTATGCAGTACAAGGTCCTGTATCGTCTAAGTGTCTCTCACAGAAACAGTAATGCATCAGCAAAAGTACTTAAGTATAAGGTATTTGGCTAAAAAATGTCAGTCAGTGTTTTCTTGACCTTTATTAAGCTGCATTACCATGTCTCCTAGAAATTACATTTAAATATTACTGAACGTTTTTTCCTAATTACGTTGTGATGGTAAACTCTGCCTGGATTCTACTCAACGTTGAAGTTAAGATCAGCTTTTGACAACACTCTAGGAAACTTTTATGTTCTGAAGTGCAAAAATGAATCAGGTATTCTTGCAGCATTTTCAAGTCTTTTTTCCATCATCACACACACACACACACACACACACACACACACATACACACATGCGCACACACTCACAGATACACTGCTGGATAAATGAACCCATGTGTTTCTGCTTCATCAAAACCAGTGTACTCTATGACTTCTTTAGCTATTTTATTTTTTACGAAAAGTTGCTGAGCATGTACATACACTTTACTTCACAGCACCTTCCTCCGCTCTCATTAAATTCCACACATCCACATGAAACAACTACCTGCCACCCTGCAGCTCCACTGCAGCAGCGGGAGGTTAACTTCCTTGACTAAGGGGCCCATAGGGGCCAGGAAGCAGCAGAGAGTATTTCACTTATTATTGATAAGTCTATTGAGGGGAAAACATTACTGACCCTTCTTAAAAACTGCTGATTATTCACAGCAGTCATTGATAATCATCAAAAAGTAATTTCTTAAAGTAAAAATACAAAGTATTGGATGTATCCAGCTTCTCAACTATGAGAATTTGGTGGGTTTTTTGTTTTGTATCAATATCTTTGGGTTTCGGACTGTTGGACAGACAAAATCAAGCAAATAAGACACCTCCTTGCACTCTGGGAGAATGTGACATTTTGCTTATTTATATTCTTCCATTTTATAGACCAAGTGAACAAATTGGGCAATAACAAAAAACAAAAAATGAAAAATATATTTTGTCTGACTAATTTTATAATAGAAGCTGAACTTTGACCCCTTGTACTTCACCTCAAACCTGCCGTGAGCTAACTGCCGACCCACGCACGCTCGCTCATTTAAATCTATTAAGATAATATCAGAATATGTGTACACATGAATACACACACACACACACACACACACACACACACACAGAAATACATTGTGAAACAGCAAACAAGCATCTCACTGCTTAAAATTCCCACAGTTTATCCTCACTCGCCTGTTCAGCATCCTCTCCTCTGTGTGTGTTTGTGTGAGTGTGTGTCCTTGAAGTGGCCCACTTCTCTCCCGATTGAAGCAGCTATGCACGCCTTTGTTGAGGCATTTTCTTCAAATAAACTTAATGTCCTTCACTTTCATCTATCTCTCCCTTCTTTGCACCATCCTTCCCTCTTTCTCTCTTCCTCTCACCACATTCAATCGTTGTTGTTTTTTTGCCCCTACCTTATTTGACTCTTTAATTCCTCTCTTTCTCCTGGCAGTATCCCCTTTAGTGTTCTCCTCAGTTTTTCCATACAGTATACTCCTCATCCCTCTTTCTTCTCCTCTCCTCCTACAGCGACTTTTCTTCTTCTCATCTATCCCTCTTCTCTCTTCAACCCACCCTAAGCTTCTGCTCCATCATCCCCCTCCCTCTTCAGTTTACCCCAACCCCTCTCTCTTCTTCCCTCTCTCTCTTTCAAGCTAGTAGTTAAGAGCCCTTTGTGTGTGTGTGTGTGTGTGTGTGTGTGTGTGTGTGTGTGTGTGTGTGTGTGTGTGTGTACAGTAGGTATGTTTCTGCCAGCTGGACGTCTTGGGAGGAGGGAAGAGAGTTTGTGTGTGTGTAAAGAGAGAGAGGAGATGCAGCAGTAGCAGTGCAGTGTAAGCATCTCCACACACAGACTTTGTGTCCAAACTGGAGCCAGACTGACAGCATTGCCAAACCCCACCGAAACACGCAAACACCCGTTAATATGGCCCTAATCTCATCCCTCTCATGATTAAATATCAGTTTACTGCAGTGTGGGGGGAGGAATGGGCATGTGAACTGTGCGTGCAGGAGTGTGTGTGTGTTAGCACAGTGCATTAAGTGCAAATCACAAGAATATAGACAAAGGACAGCTTAACTTATTAGAAAGTAGTGCCTATATATTGCATAAACACAAATTACATAATTCATTATTGTAAAGATAAAATTACAACTTTTTAAATCTTCTCAGTATGCTGTTGTTAACGACATTTCACAGAAAAAGCGCTGTCACTATAAAGCACAATAATTTTGACAGAGCACTGAAATTGTGCAGTTTTACCTGTAAAAGCCTGTATTTCTATGTATTTCTAGCAAGGGGGCTAGAAAGGGTGCGTTTTCTAAAGTTCAGTCAGAAAGTGACACCTTTTTTGTCATTGTGTTTGCTCTGCTTTAATATACGGGTATTCACACCAACCACTGAGGAATTGTGTTTCCCATTTTTTTATACCATTTTTGTCCAGTTTCAGGGGATAGAAAGTAATTGCACCAGTTAAAGTGACATAAAATCAAATGATGTCATCATATTTAATATTTCAGTGAAGCCCACAGACTGCAGCAGACACTTGGTTTTTTGTTGTGATGCTCTGCAGGCCTGCAATGCAGCCACACTCACTTTTTGTTTCTTTCCTTCTTTTTGGTCTAACTCCTGTCCTTAGCAAGTGTAGAGAAGGTTTTCACTCACTAAACTCTCCAAAAGGCTCAGAATACTGTCATTTTTATATTTTTTTATTAGCAAAGAAAATTGGTAATAGATTTGACAATATAAAATGCCAAAATATTTTGGAGCATTTGGACCAGAATGCATTAACTTTCTTTTACCTTAATGAAAATTGATTTGGTTAAGAAGACTCAACTAAAATAGTTTACCCCAGCCGCTGGATTGGCCAGTCAAGACCGCTACATGGTGCTAAAAATCTCTATGAAAAACATGTTACTCCCTTAATACTTTCTGACTGATGTGAATTTGTGTGTGTTATCCGACTGACCTGCAGAGCGCTGTTGAGGAAGCAGCTGTTCTGTCCCGGCTCATTGCTCAGGCCTTTGCTGGGTGCGATAGAGGTCATGGTTCTCGGGGTGACCAGCCCCTGCACCCCGCCTACCGCTCCACCACCCGATGCAAAGTAGTTCCTCTTCCACGACATCACTACCTGGACGCCCCCGTTTCCGCGACAAGGAGGGGAAGGGGCGTGGCAGCAGACCAAGCGATGGCCTCTATGTCACTCCCATGGGAGAAAACGACGGAGAATGAGAGAAAAGCGGAGGAGTAAATGGAGGGAGGAAGAGGAGGGAGGCGGCAGATCGAGGAGATGCGGAGTGTCTTGGATGGGGATTTGGCACCCATACAACCCTCCCCCTCTCGTCTTTTTACTTTAAAATCTGTCCACTTGCTGGAGCCAGTGGTTGGCTTTTTATTTTTCTTTTTTTAGCTCCTTGGATTTAGTAGTTTGGGTTTGAGGACATGAGAGCGTGTCCAAAGCGTCCTTCGGCAGATTCTGTTAGATAAACGTTGATTAGGCAGCACTGCTGCTGCTGCCATGTGGAGACTCCTTCAGTGCTTTCTTCTCCTCTTTCACTTTGCCTGTAAGACACAAAGACCATTCTGTTAGGACCCCTCACACAAAACTACTTACAAAAAAACACATATATATACATACTGCATAATGTACTATATGGAGAGTTCAATCAGTAGTATGGACATTGTTATTAATGCATATAAAAACCTTAAATACTTGAAAATGTAACCACTGCTGCTAAGCTTATTCCATCTTGCTTGATGATGACATACTGAAGATTTCTAAGTGGCTTACACTGGAAAAAAATGTTCTAACCTGTTCGGCTCCATAATGTTAGCTAGCTAACTGTGATGACTGCTGACCTGGCCTAGCCCAAAAATGTGGTTGATTTTCAAATCTTTAGAAAATTTTTCAAGACAGGGACATTATTGATTAATATTCCTTGCATTGCCTTGGATGATAAAATCAAACCAACATTAAACATTAAACATTGCATTAATCATTCCTATGCCATGTTCCAAAATAAAGGGTTAACACCCAACGCTGCAGCTGTTTTTAGCCTTTTTAGCTCATTGTATTTGGTTAAATTGCACATTTTCTGTTCCATTTAGATCGGCGCTGGTTTACACAAACAAGCTCTGATAAACCCACTGTGCACAATCTGCTCAGCACCTAACAGCAGTCACAGTAAGCAACTAGCTGGTGGAGACAGTTGAACATCTAGAAGCAAAAGAGCCAGAAGTTGGTGGAGACCAAATCAGAGCTAAAAGGAGAGAGAAAAATGGACTTACGTTTCTTAGTTGGACAGAAACACAACACAAAACAAATGCTAATGCTAAAGCCGTCCACTTGATATTTAAGCAGGAATAGCCGACAATTAATAAAGCTAAGGAAGCTGCAGTATTTGTCAGCTTGTTTTAATGTTCTTCTGCCACCTAGTGGCCAAAATCTAATAATTATAATAAACACATTTCATTGCTTTTGCACCATAAATCATGCAAATCATCAAATGAACACAACAGTGATAGACAGGGTAACATTGCAACAGTGATATGACACAGAGACTGCTTGGAGAAATCTGTTATGTCATGTCATAATCATAATCGTTCATAATCATAATCGAGCTTATGTTGGTTCAAGCATCGCTATGTACAGTTTCTGAATGTGTGAGGGAGATTGAGAAAGAGGCAATCTGTGTGTGATTGTCACCCTACAGTAAGTGTGCTTGGGTGTGTGTACATGAAGTTGCATAACACCACGGGGCAGTAGCTAACAGATCCGCAGTGCACCCCCACCCTTACCTCCCTCTCTCTTCGCCTATAGCTTCCCCACTTTTGGCAAAGTTCCCCTGCCTGGTTGCCGGGTTGCACTGCCGCCACAGCACCCCCTTGGCGAAAGGCCAGAGGGCGCAGCAATGCTGCGGTGAGTAGGCGAGCAGCGTGGGCTGTCACTATGGCAATGGCCACGTGGGATTGGGGTGGCGAGGTGGGGTGATGGGGGGGTGGGATAGAGGTAAGGGAGACATCATGATAAGGCAGCAACATTGCAATGTCAGTTCTTCCACTTGTCACACAGTCCTAGTGCATACTGACTAATTCCCACTATCTATCTATCTATCTATCTATATATCTATCTATCTATATATCTATCTATATATCTATCTATCTATGTGAAAAACATAACATACGATACATTTATCCATAAACAAACAAATCCAAATTGCCGGAGGATTTATAAAGGGATTTGGCTGGCATGCCCCTGTGTGCCATTTTTCCTCTACAGCACAGCATCCTGAGCTTCTGTCTCAGCATACAGTGTGTGTATGGGTGTGTGTACGAGTGTGTGTGTGTGTGTGTCTCCTGCTGAGCCTGTGTGGAGTGTGTGATCACACATCCTCTCTCTGACTGCACCCTACAGCCACAAACAACCGAGATCGCTCTGGCAAGCCCTCGCACAAGCACTGTTTATGTGTGTGTGTGTGTGTGTGTGTGTGTGTGTGTGTGCGTGCGCATGTGTCCCCACATCTTCAGCTAGTTACCATGGAAATAGGCCAAGCAGCAGGCACGCGGGGAAAAAGCCGAACCATGTGATTTAACTGAGCACACACAGACACACACACAGACACACACACAGCTGGCGAGTGATGATGATGTGTATTGATGGTGGAGAGTTCCTGGAAGCCAGAGTGAGTCAAGGCACAAGTCAATCAAACTCCCTGACCCTGGCAGGCACGAGAAAACCAAGACCTGTGGTCACAGCCCAGACAGTGACCACACATGTAAGACATTTTCCAGATGAGATGTTTGGGTGATGACAGTGGTTTTACATCCAGACATAGACACAGTGTGAGTGTGTGCAGTTTCATCTTCTAAACTAAAGTAAATCAGTCCCAGCTTAACACTGAGCATGTGGAGGTAAGCAAAGTGATGCCTTGACTTCTTCAAGGGTAAAGATGTGGATCTAGGGTCAGTTTTGAATTAGAACTAAGTTTAGGTTAGATTTAAAGGTTTGGTAAATCCAAGATTAAAAAATAGACTTTAAAAGAAAATTAGCCTAGGAGTTTTTTGTATGCGGCCAACCCAACACAATAAAGGTGAATTGAATTTTATTCGTGGTGCTCACAGCATTGAAAAATGCCAAATAAACTCAGTGTGTCTTTCCAGAAACAAAGTCCTGGTTACCCTTTCTGTAAACAGTTTTCATTGGAAATACTTTAGAAACAGTCCTTATAAAAACTGTTGACAGGAGCAGCTCTGTGGATTTTTAAATGTAATTTTCAATGCTGTGATCACAACTTACTAAATTCCATTCACCTCGATTGTATCGTGGTGGAGACAGAAATATCAGACAGATATCTTAAAACCTGAGCCAATAAAACCAAAACTATTTGCATTGTTAGATACTTCAGAAGTAAGAGGAAATATGCTTCAACATTTGGCAGGTTCATCATTGAAGGCCAGCATTATTCAGACCCACAGAACAGTATTTGATGCTCTTCTCATGATCTTAAGTTTTCTAAATTTACCAAGTATGTGAGATTGAATTATGAAGAGATGTACTGTATAAAAGTATATTATTTAATGGTGCATCTCTTACAAATAATCACTGCAGATTTTAATACAGAGTGACCAGAAAAACAGAGCTCTTTTGATGCGATGCAATACAAGCTGATGTTGTCTTGAGGCTATAGTTTGTCATGTTGATGCATTAAAATACATTATATTAACAGATGAACACAAGCACTGTAGATTATTTTAAGTCAGTCCGCCACACACCATCATATAGCTGTAAATACTCACTAGAACACAAAAATGATTTATCCGCTGCTGAAAATAGTGCCCTAACTAATGCACTATTTATTTATCAATTTTTGAATAATATGCTAAGAACACAGTGCCCAGCTTTTTAACTACATGTCTTATCCAGGATCAAATAGGATTGGGCCACAAACATGGTAGGGAATTACTGAACTTGTCAGGGTTTGGTTTGAGTTTACCTGTATCCTGTTTTATTTTGAAATGGTCTGTGTCAGTTATTTGTGTCTGACTTTGTTTAAGGTTTGTCCTGATTATCCCTAATGCGTTTCACCCAAGCGGTAATCTGCAGTTCTGAAAAGTGAAGCCATGCAGAAGTCCCTTAAATCTGCATTCTCTCTAGCGGCCAGCAGGGGCCAAAATTTCAATTCCATTAAAAATAATGGCAAAATTACCCTACTTGTCACCTGATTTATTACATTAGTAAACACTTTCCTAATGACTTTATGATATCAATCAGTCTTCTTCAGTTCAGCATGATTTTCATTTAGTAAATGATGGTCCCATTTAGGGGAAAATAGACAATATAGCAGTATATGTTTTAGGGCGGGACTGCCTTGTGATTGACAAGTAGCTACATGGTGACCTGTCAATCAGGATATAGAGTGATTCGAATCCACTGCACTGTGTAAATTAAACTAGCGCTGTTGAACAAGCTTATTAGGAGACGACAGTTTTTTCCTGTTAAGTAAGTTTTGTTTTAAGCTTGTTTTCTGCTACCCAAAATTAGCATCCCAGTTAAAATCACAGTTAACATGAATTACAGAAGCACTTGGCTAATCAAGCTTGCAAGCTCCACCGTCTCGTCCAAATGTTGTCCCATCCGGTGCCTGGTTGCAAAACCCTGCCTTTTGTTCTTGTTTGTGGATTAATGGAGTTTCATTTCACAGCAGCCTATCATTTGGGATTTTTGCCTTTTGTTTGTCATTAGACCTAGACATTTTACCTTACCTTTTAACTTTGGCTTATTAGATTACTTTGTTTGTTGGGCAACTGGGTTTGGACTAGTTGAACATTGCAAATAAGTTTTACTCTTTGTTTTGTTTAATAAACTATTCAAACTAAGTCAATCCATCTTGAGAGTCTGCTATTGGGTCCAAATTCATTTTGTTGCCTGAGCACACAGCCAATACCGACAGAACTGTACTTTTCATGGGATTTGTTGAAAAGAAAAATAAACAATATTGCCAACATCATCCTTTAAGAAGTAAGAGGTTTCACAAAGGCAGCATTATTATACAGGGCTGTTGTATTAGATTGTATTGATTTTGGTGAGTTTCTTTCTTTTCTGGTCACTCAGAGTGCTTCACTCACAAAAAATTAATATTGCTTCAACAAATCACAGGAATAAGTAGATACAGAACGTGTAGGTGATGCCAAGCGGTGTGGGAAAATATTTTACCTGACTCTTTAACTACTTAAGGAGACACATTAGGGTTCAGATTCATATTAAGTAAATGACTCTTTTAGGTTAAGTGTATGGCAGGTTTTGATGTTAAAATTTACTTTTTCAGTTTATATCTAGAGGGATGTGTGTCAGCGTGACAGCAGATGATTACTTGTGGATCAATAAGAACCAGCAAGGGCACAACTGGGAGCATTGAGGACAAACAGCTGTTTTCATGGTTCCACTACTGGTGCTGGTACTTCTATTACTACTACTACAACTACAACTACAACTACTAGAGCTGCAAATACTAACACTACTTTTACCCTTTTATACCTGCTAATATTCTTTCTGCTATGACAAA